GCGTAAAATGTCGCTCGGAATCCATGAGAGGTGGTGGTGAGGGACATTCACTTCAAATGTGAATCAGCGAGTATCAAGTAGGGGACCATCACTTTGTTTAATTTCGGGTTTTGAAATATAAACAAAAGTAAAGTGCTCCAAAATCTGTAAGGGCTTGTAAAGTAAATTGTTACTTTTAGTAAACAAATATGTATTTATAAATTGTTAATAAATAATTTGAATTGTTAAAACGAAGGAAATTTTTTTTTTTGTGAAAATCAAACATTTTAAAATAATTAACATTAAAAATAATTTATTTCTGCAGTTTTATCATAATAATGACATTATTTGATTTGAGAATATATTTTGATTCGAAAGTGACGTGTATAGTGTATATTGACGTGTTATTATACTGCTGTGTAATACTCGAAATTGTTTTTTTTTGAGCTTGCAATTTATACATTGAAGTAAATTGTTACTTTTAGTAAACAAATATGTATTTATAAATTGTTAATAAATAATTTAAATTGTTAAAACAAAGCCGAATGAAACAAAAATTTTCTTTTCATAAATAATCTTTATTTTGACTCAATCTTCAATAATTTTTTTTAAGTCTTTTTCTTTTTCTGGAAGGACAAGAATCTTCAGGTTTTATTTCTTCCTCAAAACCTTCATTTTCCATTTCAATATCTTCATCCTCAATCTGTAAATTAAATGTTTCTTCTCCTTCATCTGTAGCTATATCTTGTGCCTCCAAAAAATCTAAGGAATCCATCGACTCCATATCCATATCTCGTTCAACTTCTTCCAATATTTTATTGTGATCAATATTTTTACATGTTTGACCATTGCAGTGAAGACAATAGTCAGAACATTTGAGACCATGTTTGATACAACTGCATGTTTTTGTACAAAGCTTTTTACATTTGCAACTAATATTTCTGAATAATGAGTCAGGTAGTAATACTTGCTCAGGTTGTATTGGCTCAAGACCATTTTGAGTTAGTTCCCACCCCCACTCAGTAGCATTCAGGTTATTTCCAAGCCACTGCTGTACTTGGAAATATACACGAAGCAAGTGTTGCTCAGCTGCAGATTGTGTAGGTGGCGGCATGGACAATTGAAAATTTTTATTTGTGCAACCTTTTTTAAAGCACAAGTAGCGAATTTTATTCAATGTAAAATCGCACTTTGAGTGGCCCATATACAATGCCGATATAATTTTGCATCCGCTGCGTTTAATTTCTTCCTTAGTTGCACTTTTTTCATTAAAAATGGTTGCTTCTTGCCATATATAATTATTTGTTGAAACCAATTTAACAATTTTGCTTTTTCCTTGATAAAAAAATGCAGAGGTTGTATCACAACCAGAAAATGCGTGTAAAAAGCCCACTAAATTTTTTAACGAAGATTTCGTAGATTCACTTATTTTAAGTGCATTATTGAAAGAGTTGTAGTAATAAATTTCTTCCGATTATTTTCCTTTGCTAGGTTTCCAGAAAAAAATATTTTTATTTTCAGTTACTTTTTGTAAAAATATTACCAGAAGATCAATATCCTCTGCAATTATAAAAACTGGCTTGTTATCTGAGGCTAATATATACTTGATACTCGCCGATTTACATTTGAAGTGAATGTCCCTCATCACCACCTCTCATGCATTCCGAGCGACATATTACGCGAAAACGGTTTTTTATTTGTCTTTTTTATGGATATTGCCATAAAGCGCATTACGTAAAACTTTTCATATAAAAAGTATTTGACAAGACGAGGTTATTTGTTTAAAAACGAGCCCTCTATCACTTATGGTTACACGGCAAATGTATGCCAACTTTAACCTTCAATATCTCGGCAACCAGTAAGCAGAATGTATCTTTTTGTTTTTCAAAAGAAGCGTCTTTTAATGTTCTTAAAGTGTATACATTTTGAAATTGATATGTTTAAAGCTCGTAAAGTTATTTAATTTGTTTATAAGCCTAAAAAATGTTTATAACTTTAAAAAAATTTATAGGCTTTCCTAGTAAACCGATTTGAATTTTACAAAAAGCGTTTGAAAGTGTGAGACTTCCTTTATATGTAAAAAAAATTGCAACTATCTGAGGGCCTTATTTAGGGCCTACTATGAATTTGAAAATTTGCGATTTTTTTTCCAGTAGGCTGGATTGCAAAATTATTATGCAAAACCTATCCAACCGATCTTAACAAAATTTAGCACACGTTTTAAACATATTAAAAAGTTTTTCTAGGCGGAATATGGAACTTGTAAGTCAAGTTTAGAAAGTCGAAAACATTTAAAGGATCAACTTCATTTTTTTGTACTTTTTTTTCCAATTATTGCTATTTTTTCAACAATAACCATTAAATTTTCAATTTCTAGCTAACAAAATATTGTGTTAAATTTAATAACGAAACTTTTAACTACTTATAATTTTTTCTCTAAGATCAATATTTTTCGAATTATAAATGAAAATAGGAGCAAAAAAATGAGAAATTTTCAATTGTTTTCAGATTTTGTTAAATAAAAAATTTAGCACAGGGTTTGCGACTGGCGCATATCGTGATTATCGATACTGGGCATATCCTGAAGGGATTCCAGCAAAAAAATAGCTTCCCTCGAAAATTTCCATTATGGTCTGAATTTCTACAGATGCCGCCTAGTGTAACTCCACTTCACGAGTATGTAGACAGTCACCTCGTCTCTATTAACTTCACTTCGACACTTCGTCCGAAGAACTTTGATTGAAAGTGTAGACGGCGATTAAGAGTATAGCGCGAACGAAATCAAGAATTTTGTTTACTTAAAACGCCGTCTCCACTCTCGATCGAAGTTCTTCTGACGAAGTGTCGAAGTAAAGTTAATCGAGGCGAGGTAACACTTCGTATTCGAACTTCGGACCCTTTGACTTGGACGCGAAAAACTGACAGAGAACGGAAGTAGAACGAGGCGAAGCGAAGTCGCATGAAGTACCCGTCTACAATCTCGTACTCGCTGAACTTCGATCAACTTCGCGAGTGTTATAGTGGCTGCTCTAAATGGTTGACAAAATCGAAAAAAAAAAAAACATTTATCAGCAATCATTACATCGTTGCATGCTGCATGCCTCGGCAGCTGATCAGTGGCGGCTGGTGTGGTAAAATTTTGGGTAGGCCAAGCCAGCAAATTACATCGTAAATTTAGCGCCATATTCTGTGAATCTTTTATTATCGCCCAATTCCAGTTATTGAAACTTTTTGTAATCCGAGAAACGTTGCTCTAATTGAGTAATAATATTGTCCAAAATCTCAAAAAAGATCCTACTAAATTTAGTTATAACTTTCTCCAAAAAACTTTGATCTCCGTTATTAGATGAACTACCAGGTAAAATATCAAGTTCACTACGACTTAAGATGAGTTTAGAATTGGTTTCGCTAGCATCAATGTTGAAATGGTTAGAAAATGTAAGGTCATTTCTACAGCTCTTTAACATTGCAACACTTCTGGACACTGAATTGGCACACAATTGAACATCATTATTTTTCTTCTGCAAGCCTCCAACTTACGTTTAAAACCATCTGCCTGCCTAATTGATTTTGCATTTGATTCTGGGCAATTCATTATGTCCTGAAAGACTTGTAACAATTTTTTCTTTCTTGTGACACAGCATATACTACTTTTGGATTTGAATTCCATCTTACTTCACTATTTTTGGTAATTCGTTTTCCAAGTATTTTATTTACAAAATAGGACCGTTTGGACGATTAGTGAAAATAAGCTAGAATACCTTGAAGCGTTGAGAATAATATTTTGACTGTTGTAATGTTGGAGCAACTTTGCTGTAAAACTAAGTTCAGGCGGTGAGCGAAACAATGGGTAAATATTGCTAATGGTGCAGAATCTCTCACTAATTTTTGAAGTCCATTAAGTTGTCCCGACATAACACTAGCGCCATCGTAGGTTTAAGCAATTAATTTAGCTTTACAGTCAAATTTACCAATTACACTAAACAGTAAGTCACGTAACGCTGGAGCACTTCGGTCTTCCCCTAGATAAAAAAAACCTAAGAAATACTCTTGAACAACACCTTTTGTATCCAATAATCTGCATACTATTGAACATTGTGCCCTTTCAGTAATATCGGTTGTTTCATCAATAATGCATGCAAAAAATGTGGAGTTATTTATGGCGTTCTCATACAACACATTTGTGTTGTTTGTTTAAAAATTTGTTACAATTATAGATTATGTTACATATTTTTTATCATAATTTAAAAGAAAATTTATATTACAATTCGATAATTACGTTACAAGCGACAACGATGGTCGGCGTAGGCCCGATCGTCTGGTGCCTAAACAGCAATCATAAAGGCGACAATAAAAATCGTTGTCCGGCAAGCTGCTCAAACGCTTTTTGTACGGGGATCTTATGTGAGCTGGGTCGGCCAGTTCCGATCGGGCCTATTAATGATATTTAAAATGCCTGAATACGATTCGATGCTTTCAGTGGTAATATAATAACATAGTTGTTTTTACGGACGTTAATGTATTGAGTGATTTAGTACATTTAAAAGTTATTTACATGAATTAACATAATTTTTGCATATATGTTTTTCAATTTTAAAGCTCGTAAAATTATTGGGTAGGCCCGGCCTATCCTGCCTACCCACAAAAGCCGCCACTGCAGCTGATTCATGTGTATACGTATACATGAATTGTTATTGTTTTTGAATCGTTTTTTATAAGACGATAATTAAAATACAGCTATGAAAAAGTCCACATTTTGAGTTTTCGTAGAACTAAAATACCATAATATAAAATGCATGCATTTTGGATGTGGTATTAGTATTCCACTCTAGAAATTGTCAACTTTTTTCATCCCACCACTTCGTGAATTCTTCGAAGAATAACTTATTTAAATTTTCAAAATAGAATTTTACCAAAACATGAAAATCCGGAAGTCTTCAGGCGTAATTCAGGCCCGAATTTTTCGGACTAGTTGGTCACACCATTCATTATTTGTGATATTTTCTTTTGTTATTTTGCAGTGCATAGAAGTTGAGGAGATTCCGTCGTCAGTGGGACTAAATAGTTCTTACGAAAAAATAAACGAAGACTCATTCTACAAAATGTGTCCCATTTTACTATATAGCTTAGTTAATAAAGACTGTACCAAAATGTTAGATGACCATCATGATATGGATGACATTGCTCCTATTGTAAATAACGGATTTGTCTGGCTGTGTTCTATTCTCGCTATTATAGTTATAAGCGCTTGTGGAGTCTTATCTCTAGTTATTATCCCAGTTATGCAGAAGAGGTAAGTTTAATAAACACTATCAAAAGTGAAGGAAAGTGTTTTCCACCAATATCACAAATAAGTACCATTATTTATGTTTTTAGGTTCTACAAGCCTCTCATACAATTTCTCGTCGCTCTCGCCGTCGGCACATTAGCCGGAGATGCTCTCCTTCATCTTCTTCCCCACGCCATGAGTACTACACATGGTCATTCTCATCATCACACCCATTTGGCGGAAGACTCCTCGCACGATGAAAATATTCAGAAAGGTTGTGTTGCTATGTTGGGCCTCACTTTTTTCTTCGTCATGGAGAGACTAATTTCGTTGTGCGTTAAATGGAGGAAAGGAAAACAGAAGAAACATTCCCATATAACTGTCATCAACGATAGAAGGGAAAGTATAGATCAGAAAAATGAGACACAGTGTATGGACAAATACAATTCCTTTCCTTATTGCTATAAGGATATAATGGATAATCCTCGTAAGTTATTCAATTTACTAAAAATTTACTGTTAATATGTTACTCTCATATAAGCCAAATCAATTATTATGTGAGAGTGACTACTAATCCATAAAAAGCAAAGGCTTATTCCATAACATATCTCAATTACTTTTTTTTCGATGCTCGTTTTGATTTAACTATTTAAATAGATGTACTTTTTATACCACTGATTATCATTAACCTATAGTACAAGGTTTGTATTTATTTGTTAAAGACAATACATATTATGACACAGACAGAACGGCCACTACTGTCCTGGACCCCGCTTCCAAATCAGATACTCAAAAAATTTCTAAATCTTCTACCCTAGAGAAAATGGAACCCAATAACCAGAATCTGGATTGTCCGTCTGATATGAACATCTGTACTGAAGCTAATAAGATGTTAACTCCTGAACACAAAAATGATGATTACACTGTAATTGTACGAGAACATAAGAGCGAACACCACGGACATTCACATAAACACGGACATGTTCATGCAGCACCTAAAAATTTTTCGTCCGTAGCCTGGATGGTCATAATGGGTGATGGGTGAGTATCAATAATTTGAATATCCCCTATTGCAGTCTGTTTGTAAATATTTTAATAAAATTAACGGCCTTCTAACGAGATTTAAAAGTTCTTCTCGGAGCCTTCTTTCAGTGCGTAAGAGTTTTTGGATTTCTTTTTAGCTCATTATGTTGGATGTGCCGGAAAAAACGTTACATTCATAATCGGTCTATTCCTAACCTACGTTTGATTCGCTTCCCACATTTCGCTTTCTTCGAATTTATGTAATACCAAAATTCCAAGGCGGCCAACTTATTCAGATGCACTGGTTTCAATGTCCATAATTATAAAGAAAAGTAGGCCCTTCTAATACTAAGTGGGTCTTTGCTTTCGGGTTAATTTCCTCCATTCATATATCTCTTGTGCACTTCTCTTCCATTCTCTTATAATTATCGTTCTCAATTCATCCTCCACATCATCCATCCATCTGGTTCTAAATTTTCCTTTCTTTTGTTTGTTTGTTGGTTTTCATTGCACCATTTTCATACTTGCTTTTGTGTCTTCTAACCTCTGGACATATCTAATCATGCCAGCCTTTGAGTTTTTCAGCAGTCGTACAATACCACATAAGAGAATACATACCATCGTCAGAAGAAAGAGAAGCCAACGAAAAACAAAAAACAGAACAATGTTAAGAAATAGAGGAGTACCAGAGTCGATGTAATAACTTCAATATCCATCGAAAGGTGAAGGAAATAGCTGGAAAGTTTCGAAAACGCAGCAGCGGAAAAATAACAGATGATGAAGGCATTCTTGCCATAACCAAAGAAGATAAAAAGAAAGTATGGGAAGAATACTTGAAGAAACTTTTCCACGACCTTAGAAACAATACAAGAACCCACCATTGAAGAAAATTCAGGTCCCGAAATCCTATTAGAAGAAATGGCGGCAGCCGTCAGACAAATGAAGGATGCTGCTACATTCTTACTAGCTACTTGCACACATAAACTACAAGTTTTCATAAATATATCCTTCTCTAAAGAAGAGGCTTATGTTATAGATAAAGGATTCTTTGATCTTTCCAGAAAAATCTTTTGTGCATAGATAGAACTTTGTAGCTTTCGAATAGTCTTTAACACTAGTTGTCGGGCCTCTATTAGGTCAAAGTCATACTTCAAACCTCAGCGTTAACCCAACTAGTCTTACTATCATTTTCGTTTTGTTTTATATGAAGAATTTCATACACTACATTGTATCAATGATAAATCAATCAAATTGACTGTTTAATATTATATCCTTTACATAGAATTTTATTTTTATTTATGTCATTCCTTCGTTGTCCTCTCTCATTATATTTTTTATATATTTTTAATAATCTCTAATAGTTCGTTACATTTATTAATATTACCTATATTATAGATTACACAATTTCACCGATGGAATGGCAATTGGAGCAGCGTTTTCAGGTAGTTTAGCCGGTGGGTTTTCAACAACAGTAGCGGTGTTTTGCCATGAATTACCTCACGAGCTCGGAGATTTTGCTATGTTATTAAAAGCTGGAATGACCATCAAACAAGCTCTTTTCTACAATATACTCTCCAGCGTTTTGTGCATATTTGGAAATATTTTCGGACTTATGCTCGGTGAGTATTACAGGCAATAAAACTACGAGTATTTGACAATGTCATTCCCAATCAATATAAAAACTATTGAAACCATATAACCTTCCGTGCATAAAAATTTTAAATGTTATTGTTTAGTAATTATAGGTCAAATCAAAATAATTTGAAATTGTATTAGATCATGTAGTATTCGCTTTAAATGATAAACCTGTTTAAATTGATTCAACGTTAAGTTAACAGTTATCGAATTGAATGAAAAAATTATCATTTCATTATCAGAAGAAACAGTACTTCAAAAAATATAAAAAGACATCCATAACAAAAATTAACATTATGAAAAACATGTGTGACTTCATCTTTCTCGAATATCAGCTTGCATATGATTAGGAATAGACCTACAAATTCAGTATTGTCTATTATGGGCTGCACCACTCTTCTACAATAATAAAGAGCTGTGGGATCGATGTTGGGACAGGAATCTTAAATCGTATCTTCATTTAGCTCAACCCATAACTGGAGGCTTTTCTGGAGAAAGGAGTGTATGGGCTACAGCTATATAGGAGTAAGGCAAAAATCATTTTTGGTTGAGTTTACCGAAAGTACAAGCTGAATATAGCCGCAAATGTCAACTATGAGATAAAATATTTCGGTTTGGCAGTGTTGGGATCTTTTTAATGCATATGTTGTATGCTTCAAATATAAAGAGAGAAAGCTTTTAAAAGGTACATTGTGATTATACTATTTTATGAATTCTGCAATTTTTAATTTATATGAAACAATAACGAGTAAATATTTTTTCTCTTTCGAGATTAATTGCAAACATCTGTTGCAATCTAGCAACTGCTGATTTGACAATTGCCAAATCTATCTCCTAATCTATCAAAGGGCAATTGCCAAAAAAATTTCTTATAATTAACTGCAATTAATCTCCAAAGAAACAAATATTTACCCATTCTTGTTTTATATAAATCAAAAATTGCAGAATTCATAATATAATAATATAATCAAAATGTACTTTTCTAAAGCTTTATCTATTTATATTTGAAGCATACATCATATACATTATAAAAACATGGCAACACTGCTAAACCGAAATTTTTTGTTCCATGTTTGACATTTACGGCTTTAATCAGCTTGTACTTTCGGTGAACTCAACCTCATTTTTTATTATGAGAAGGACTAAATCTTCTAAAGACCGTATCAGGCAGTGTCCTGGTAAAAATGGCTTGGCATGTGTTTGATTCAGGGTGGAAGAGTGGCAATCCCCCAGAAGAGTCGTGCTCAGAGATACATTCATAGCTCCCTGCCTACCAACTAAAGTCCACCCCCTCATCACAACACTACTCATGCGGTCGGTCCTCTCCAGATCGGTGCATCACATGAATAGCCCGTATTTTGTCTCTCTCTCCCCTCTTTCTCTATCACCCCTTGTCTCTCTCTCTCTCTCAGTATTGCTTTGGATTACTCTGTCCCCTTTTATCGTATTTGAGCTTACCCCAACTACCTTCTCGTGTAATTCGTTTTTGTCCTCGTCGAACATTCTGCCCTCGAATGCACAGTCATCGACTGTGTCTGCCACTCCACATACTGTGCAGTTTCCATTCGAGACTTTCCCTTTACTTTCTAGATAAAACCTGAAGTACCCGGACAATGCTAGGAACTGGGTGAAAAAGTAATTAGTGTCTCTGTCACTGCTTTTATAAGAATTATATATTATTAAATTATTGATGACATCCGTATTCAATAAAACTTCAATTTCAGCTTTATGGTACCATCGCACAGTTTTTCTCAGAGATGAAAAATAGCTTGCGGGTTAATCCGAGACGACAACACCATCTTTTCCTTTGTTGTAGTCTATAATTGCTTCAGGTTTAATTATAGCTACACCATCTTTCTTATGTTTACCTGTATCTTTCATGTTTATTCCATGTCTGGTCATCAAGAAGAGAACATCACGTTTATCGTGTCACTTGCCTATTACAATACCATCACGATGTTCCTTTCCAATTATTATCTCTCCTTTTTTTAATTTTGCGGAAAGTATATCTTCTGGAACATATTTTCGGCTTTTACGTAGTGTCCCTAATAAGTGACTATTAGCATCTAATAATTGTTTTGCTAAATGCACAGACGTATAGCAATTATCGGTTATTACAACTCTTCCTTTTTATAGATAGTGTTTTGCTAAATCTAGTACAATTTTCCCGATAAATCCTGCCCTTTATTAGCCATTTTGTCGTTACACATAATCATTTTTAGAGTATAACCTATAGGATTACATAATTTAAACAGTTTCAAGCCATAGCGGTGACGCTTTGAAGGTATATATTGTTTGAAAAGCAGTCTTCCTGAAAAGGGAATCATACTTCCATCAACAACAAGTATTGAGCCAGAATTACATTGTTGGGCAAAACGTAATTGTCATTTCAAATATTTTTTTAATTTTATGGCAATGATCGTTTGGTAAAGCAGCCCTGTTATCAGCAAAATGTAAGAATCTCAAAAGAAGGTGAAATATGTTTCTGGTCATTACAAAACAATTAAAAGTAAAATTATACAATGGTGACTTACTCCAATAATCAGCAATTTTGGGAAGCTTAACAACTCCCACATACATAACACAACCCAAAATTTTTTTTAAATTTCTTCTGTATTGTTAGATTTCCATGCATGAATTCTGGGTGATCTGCTATACCGTTGGTCAATTTTTCCTTGCTCAGCATTTCTGTTAGTCTCCTCTACAATAAGTAGACTAAGTTACTCAAAGTAAAAGTTCATCATCGATCAGTTTCCTGTATACATGAAAAGGAGTTAGTTCGGTTTTATTTTGAGGATAACTATCATCATGGACATCTGATTCATTAGCAGGATACACTGTATATCGAGACGTAAATGAGTACAGTCAACTGTATTAAACAGCTGAGTTCCCAGCTGTTCTCCGCGTGTAGAGGTTCTCTCTCACCGGCTCTGGAACTCGATTCAGCCATGTGTTACCTCTAGTCAAATTTAATTTAATACTAAACATCACAGTTATTTTACAACACAATGTACAATCTTTTATAACTAAATGTAATTTAAAGGGTTTTTACCCTAGTATTTTGGTGGCTCAGGCATTGTGACCTAGCATTTTTCAATTTTAAAACCTGATGATGGACTGTGTGGTCCGAAAACGTTTGTTTTATTGATGTAGCCCTTTTAAGGGTTTTTTAAAATAAATATACCCATTTACAAAGACTAACCTCTTTTTCTTTTTTTTTTTTTTATTAAAATGTATTTAATCCTTCATTTTAGATAATGTATAATTATTTTATTTTTGTAGGTAATACTGAATACGCTAGTTCGTGGGTATTTGCTGCAGCTGCCGGTATGTTCATCTACATCGCCTTGGTAGATATGATCCCCGAATTAAGCTCTGCCCACGAAGATGAAGGCAACGTAGGACAAGCTCTGTTACATTTGGGCGGTTTACTTACCGGTTTGGGTGTGATGGCCCTTATCGCATTTTATGAGCATGATCTAATGACGGTTTTCAGCGAAGCTCATTAGGTATGCGCCAGTGATATTTTTTTTCTACTTATCAATAAGATTTAAGAGTGGTCTAAAGTTGTATCAGCGATTTTTTAAAGATAGTTGAACTGGTGTTGATAAAAGGAAAAATTTTAAAAATGTAACAGTGCGGTCTAACGTCATTTGTATGTTTCGTCGTGTTGTACAATAAGTTTATTTGATGATTAAATAGAGGCGATACAAAAAAAAAACGATTTAAAATAATTACTGTAGTATAATAAAAAAGAGTCGATTAGACTACAGGAAAATGAATATTATGTTAATAAAAAGATTTCTTTTATAATTAAAATTTTTAGCTTTCTAGCTTGCGCCACTCAAGTTTCAGCAAACGTTTTTCCGATAGATGGCGCTAGTGCAATATGCACTATTCAGCAAATGAAAAGCAACTTTCGTTATAAACTACCGTAATGTTTCACTCGCTCGTATTTAGGTATCCATCCGAGTAAATGTCCATTAAAATTCCACATACCTTCTATATCTATAATGTTTAGATAAAAGACACACAATAATATAATTTTTTAATTTTAAAATATATACACCAGTTTAAACCATCTTTTAAAAATCCATATATTTTTTACTTTTTTAATGTGAAAGTAGCTTATGCAAGTAGGATGTTCTATTTTTTTTTTATTTTGTATTAACTGCACTTACCTAGACTTTTTTTTAAGTTACCGACTGTTTTGTAACATTTTTTTTTTTTTTGATAACGTTAATTATTTTTAGGAATGTTGGATTTATTTTGCCAACTTGTATTAGAATAGAAGTTAAATTCTATTTATTTTACTTTTTTATATTCTTTGTCTTTCCTGAAATAATGTATGTGAAATCTCAATAAAGATTTATGTGTAAATATGTTTTTTTTTTATTTACTATTATATACATTTTAAAATAACAAATATGCAATCAAGGTTTGCATAAAACCACCCATAACTCCAAAATGCTTGTCCCTCCATTTATTCCAACTGTTTCGTCTACAACTGTAGCAGACTACCAAAGGCAGTGAGATACCTGGTATTCGCTATGTGCAACTTCCGAAGAGCGACACCTAGTGGCATAAATTAGCGAAGGTGTTTATAGTCCAAATTCAATAGGTTTGTCAGGGTATCACTTTAAAATTATAGACTCAGGAGGGGCACGAAACGAGAGACGTAGTTCAATGGTGGGGTATACATTTTTAAAATAAGGGAAATCATTGTGAGAACTAATTCGAAATGAACCCTGTACATTAGACCTCTTTAAACGTACTGATATTGGAATAATGATCTTATGTACCTATTGATGTTGTTAAAATAAAATTCATATTCAAATATAAATACCAACTGCTTTACAGAAAATAATAATAGACCCGGCAGCCTAATGCAAACCTTACAAAAAGTTATTAGGTAAGTACTTCCAATACCATAACCTCGTAGAACGAAGGATCTCACAGGTACTTTCCAAATGATAAAACAACAACAGCAACAAAAAAAAACAAATTCAAACTATATTAGTTATTATTTAAAATAAATCTGTTTATGCTGATTTACTTCCAGATGTTAATTCACCATCACTACTGTCTCTTGAAGTAATAATAATGGGCTCGATAAGAACATCAACACGCGTGTCTACGTCCCACATTTTATCTTTTTCTTCCTGGGCATGTTTAATGCATGACTTCCAGTTGGAAGCGGCTGTATTTTGTATGGTTTGTTCTAATAATAATTTTTTGACATCTTTTAATTTAAAGGTTGTGTTTTTTTGGACTTTCTCATTTTTTATATGTGCCATATCATCAGTTCAATAGGATTCAATTCACAATGATACAGTGGAATTCTTAATACGGTCATGCCATGCTTATGTACCAATTCGTCTACTGCAAATTTGATGGAAGTCTTATGTTTGCGCACTACATCAAGTAATCATAGATTCATCAAAATCTATATTTTTGCTTCTTTGCGTCTACTATATCTGCCTTTCAAGATGCAGAAGTTGGTATTTTTTCCATACGAAGGATGTGATAAGGTGCATTGTACATTATAATTATCGATCCAGGTTCTACAAAAGTCAGTATAGACGAAAACCACTTTTCAAACAGAAACACATCCGAACTCATATCCACATGTTAATCGCCCGTTTTGATAGAGGTAGACATTTAACCCACCTTGTAAGAAACCTGAATCGATTCCTATGTGCATAATAATAAGGCATCTTCCTTTGTCCGAAGGTGCTTTTTAGCCGGTTGAAAGTCCCTCATTAAAAGCCTATCGTGAACTTTTAAGATTTAAGTCTTACCATACTTAGGATTTCGTATGACCGTCATTCAACCAAGTCTCGTCCATATGATAAATTTATGTAGTCCATATTATATTAAGATAAATTTTTTGTAAATATTATCTCCGCCATATCACTAGTTCCTCTCGATTAAAATAAACTTTTCCGACTTCTCTTTATATATCGAAAATCCATTTCCCTTAATAATATTTGTGGATGTTACAAAAATCCAAGTTGGTGTGTCTTTCGATCTTTGTTTAGATCGCCAAACTTTTTATTGTGGGACTCTTAGAAGCAATCGGAAAGGTATTCCAAAGGGAATAGGTTAAAAGAAACTAAAGAAAAATGAAATAATTGGCATCAAAAATAAGGACAATATAAAGGTAATCCGTTGGCAAGACAAGAGATCGGTATTAATGTTATCCAGTAAACCTGAGCATACCCTAAACTTCTGCACTACGGACAAGAAAAAGAGATCAAAACCAAGGGAGGAACCAGTGAAATATATTTTTAAACCGCAAGTTATCCAAGACTACAACATAGCTAAAAAAGGTGTAGATTACAGTGACCAAATGGCAGCTTATTATTCTTCCTTACGAAAAGGTCTTAAGTAGTATCGTAAGGTAGTCTTCGAACTAATCTTTGGTGCTACAATAATCAACAGCTGGATTATCTATAATAAAACAAACATCGAAAAAAAAATATACCAATGCTAACATTTCGTGAACAGTTAGCATTACAACTTTCAAATCAAAATGAGTGTATTTCGGAAACCAACTTATCAAAACGAAAACATTGTCTGCAACGAGAAGAAGGTCCTGGTAGAAAACGTAGACGAAATTGCGTTGATTGTTACAAGAAGTTGAGACAGACTATGAAAAGTAAGGAAGCTGATAAGAAGGTGACCAAAGTAAACACTTTTTGTGAAAATTGCGAAAAGAAACCGGCTTTGTGCTTAACTTGTTTTAATGATAGACATATCTAATTATTAATTACTATTTTAATTATTATATATTTTTTGTACACTTTAATATTACTTCAAATAAAAATTGATCATTTTATTTATTTTTTAAAAGTAAAATATTTCAAATTGCCACATAAGTATCAGTATATTTTTTATATACCGTAAATACTTTACCGGACATCGGAATCTGATACTATGTCTGCCAGAAATGGATTAGAGTGTTTACTATGAGATGGCAGTGTTAGATTCAAGGTAATTTCAAATACAAAGTCACAGAAACCATTTATTTATAAATATGTTTACCAGATCCATAGGTCTGGTATCGTCCGAACAGTAGACAGTGTTACCAGATACAGGGATCTGGTAACGTCAATAAATGTTACTGACAAATTTAATGCCGTCGTGAACGTGTTAAGCTATTTCGGCATACTCACACTCAGTAATTATATAACCACTGTGAGACAAACATTTCAGTTTTTGTGTAATTGTGAAACACTGGAAAGAAGATTCATTCATCATCACTGGTACCCTACTTTTAATATGCATACACACACAATATTAAATTGATAAATTTACAGTTAACTTATTTCGACATAAAAAATAATACCAGGTACTGTTTAAACATTATAAAATAATTGTGAACTCTCATAGATAATTAGTATAATTAATCATTTACAAAAGACTTTTATTATTGAACATAAATATGATGTATTGGCAATTGGCATGATTAAATCTAGACTCGCGATTATCCGAGGTAATTCGACTATCACGAATACCGAAAAAACTCGGTTAAGACTGAGATTGGTTTTAATGATAGAAAAATTTGTACCTACATAAATAATGATTAATGTGTTTATTTTAATAACTAAAAACTAATATAAACATAGTATAAAAGATAAAAAAATTTACCTTATAAATGTTACCTTATGTATGCGGGATCTGCTTCAATCTATCGGAATGAGAAATCTTTTGAGTTATCTCATCTGTATCTTCTTCTTCTTCATGGGTGAGGTTTAGAACTAGATTGGCATTTGCATCATCTGTCAGTTCCATTTATTCATCTAGACTCATCAAATCGATGATGTCTTGGTTTCAAATTGTTTGTTCTACTGGTAATTGATTGCCTAGGTTCGTTAGAGAATCCACTTCACAGTCATCAGTTTCATTTTAAACATCTTGTGTTTTGTTGTCTATCTTAAATAATTTTTTTCACGACTTCTGAATAGTGGACACTTTTACGTCATCCCAAGCAGATGCAATCCAATAGCAAACATCTTTAACTGCGATCTTCTTCAATGCCTCAATTACAGTCAACCCTTCATCCAGCTTAGTTAGCAGTACCTGAAAAAGCTTCCGCCGATAATTCCTCTTCATTGGTTCTATAACACCTTGGTCTAGGGATTGGTTGAGAGACGTCACATTGGGTGGAAGGAACACAGCTCGTATGTCACCACTAATCAATTCACTCGCATCTTGGTGGGATCATGCGTTGTCCAACAACAACAAAGCCACAACAAAACCAGTCCTTAAAAGGATTACAGTCGATCTAGGCATTGCGTTGGTTGCTATAGATTTTAAAATCAAGGCCTGTCTCATCACAGTTAAATATTTGGTCTGAAGTTAGTCCATCTTTAAGGATAATGTTTTGTAGTTTTAAATAAAATGTTCCAATTTCAGTTGAGTCAGCAGAAAGTTTTTCGCCGCAAATATTCAATTGTCGGATGCCATATTTCTTCTTCCATAAGTCAATCTATCCTTCACTAGCACAAAAGTTTTTTTCTCCATCCATAAACTTCATCTGGAATTCAATAGCTTTTGCTTGGAGTAGTGGACTACTTATCGAGCTGCCCAATCCTCTCATTTGTGAAAACCAGAAGAATAATGACTCAAAAGTTTGTTCCCTTTCTTCATAGTCTTCCGGGCCAATCCACTACCACCACTCACACTTCAGTTAACCCACTATTTGATTTAATTCCGCTTACGCTTCCAATCTGCAGTTATTTCTCCGACACCTAAATCTGAAGTAACCTTCTTTATTGATTTACCCTTGTCCAACCTCTTAATTGCATTCACTTTTGTTTCCAAAGATACAACTACTCTCTTCCGCTTTTCACTCATATTGCACAGAAAGATGCTCTCTTCCACTCACAAAAATCAACTTATGAAAAATTAATTATGAAACCGAAACTAATAACAAAGAATATAGACGCTTATAGAAGAACAGTTCAAATGGACGATTTGGTTAGGGTTTACACTTTAAAACACATCTGGCAGTCGGCTTAAACTATCTCATAAAAGATATAGTTAGGGGAAAGTGGGAAAGGAGTACGAACGGAGCTATTTATTTAACTTTGCATCTACGATTAAAAAAAATCCCATGCTTTTTTTGTTTTTTTTTTCACAATAAAATCTTTATTTTCAATATATTAAATTGTTAAATTTTGAATTTTGAAATTTAAAAAGGTATGATATTTACAATATTCAAAGCATTTATTTTTTACATTTTATAACTTTGAATTAAAAATAGGTTTGTTCCAACACAACGAAAAACCGTCACATAAATTTTTATTATACTGTTTTTCTGCCCAAAAATTAACGAAATATATTTTTAAAATATTTCGTTAATTTTGGGTTAATTCAACCAAAAATTTGATTTTCTCAGGACTTTTCATTAAGCTTTTTAGACATGTTTCCATTATTCTGCAGAAAAAACAGTGTTGTGTTTTACATTTTGTTATTTTATATTAAAAACAAAGAAGAAATTATTAAATTTAGAAAATTTGGAAATATTTAATTCCGGTGATTGATGACTTTATTGGTTGAATTAATTTTATAGTTAATAAGAAGAGAGTTCTTCTTATTAACTATAATATTATTTGTAGATTTGTACCTATTTAAATTAAAAATTCGAATCATAATATTTTTTCTAATAGGATTCATTTATTAAAAGTTAAAATATTATTATTTTCTTTAAAAAATATTATAAAACGCAAAAAATTTAATCCTATTCTACGGCCACGCGGCATTATGTGTTCGTAGTTCTCTGGCATTATACATAAAAATATCTGTTGCATTTGTTGCCCCACTCTTTCATATTTTAAAAGCAATAATAGCGTTGACATGACCGCTCCCTTCTCGATCCACCCTCTCATTCTTTTTCATAACGTGCGATCATCTTTTGCAAACTTTCAAACATAACAGTGAAAGATTCTTCTATAAGCGTCTATATTCTTTGCTAATAAACTCGAATAAGTACACAAAACAGTATATAAAAGGAAACACTTTACCGTACAGTAACTTAATTTGACGACCTGAATGACAGCAAACAAATCGGTAGTTCAATTCACACTGATTAACATAGAAAGGAACAGGAAGTTATAGACAAAGCACGACACAAAAATTTCTAGAAATAAGGTGGTGACCAATTTCTGAAAATACCGCCTCGACATCAGCTTGAACTAAAGCATACCTTACACGCAATTCCCTTATCAATAATCCACAATTTTCAATGGATTGCCCATATAACAGCTGCCGATATAACTTGTGACCGTCAACCCTTTTTTTATTACTCGATATTATGATTCAACAAGTACGACTATAGAAGTAAAACTGAGGCAAAATTTTGCCTCGGTTAGCCGAAGGGCTCGGATAACCTAGACTCGGATAATCGCGAGTCTACTGTTACTTGTTTAATTTAGGGATGTAAAAAAGGAATAAATGAACTAAAATGAGTGTAAAACTGATTTTTTTATTTTAATATATACCAAAACATACCAAAGCTTAAAAAATAATTAATTAACCTTCATAAAATTTGGGCAATTCATTTCCTAAAATAACTCTTCGTTCAATACCAGCTTCATTGATGATTCCCAGTCTGATTACACCTCCTGAAGAACCATCTCTGGACATGGCAAGTGCCAATGCTAAAAAGATAAATAAATGTTAGTATATAATGTATAACAAAAAATACTATCAATACAATTATTTCGGTTATCCTCTTTAACAATTAGGAAAATTAGAAAATGGCACTCAGTAAATGAGACGCACAAATATACAAATAATGAGTCGAAGTTCAGATGGCAGTTTCTGGAATATATAAAAAAGAAGGCAGAACACTATACTACTCCGGAGATAATCAACACAATTAAAATGGAGTAGGCCCATAAAACACAAAATATGTGAAACATTTTACACCTGTTTCTGAGAGAGATATTCTACTTCAGTTAAATGGCATAAAAAAATTTGATATTAATATCATACTAATTTATGCCCTAACAGCTGAAAGGAAACACGATAATGAAGTAAAAAAACTTAACTCTTTGATCAGTATAACATTCAAATGACTAAAAAACAACCAAATCACGATTATGATGGGAAACTTTAATGTGAAAATTGAACTTATTTATGTAATTTCTAAGAAAATTACTTACTATTTGTGACAAACTTTACACATTCTTCTTTGCTCATATTGGGTTTGAAATTGGCATCTACATAACCATAAACATAACTGGAACCTGATCCTCCGATTGACACTTCTTGCCTCACGCACATCCCACCAATTGGTATGGAATACACTTGCCCGCCTTTCTTCTTATCCCAACCTGCTACCAGTATTCCAGCCATTAGTGAATCTCTATAATTGTAGCAAAGTTCTTGGAAAATGGCAGCACCTACTTCTACTTTGGGTTCTTCACCAAGTTCCATACTATGAAAAGAAAAAAAATGTTAATTTGGAACAGAAGTTTTATGGTAATATGTTAAATTTTTAATACATTAGTAGAATAGAACTATCGACATATCCAAAAGAATGATAATTACAGGAGTCTGTGCAATAAACTCTTCATTGGTTGGATTGTTATGTCATTTTCACACCAGGTTACAAATACAATGTCATGGGTTTGTGGATGACACATGTGGGAAACAAATAAGTAACAATGGACCGGTCATCAAGAACAGTGCCTGCTAGCTAAAATAATAGTGGATTTAAAGCAGCATAAGAATCTATCTTTACTCAGAAACTACCAGCCAATCTCTCTTTAATGTGATACTTTTAAGATATACAAAAGACTCATCCGGAATCTATTAAAAAACATAGTCGACCAGAATCTCATAAAATAGCACTAAGAAAATAACTAAATAACAAGACTTGCACTAGTTGACCTGAGCTCACTGATGATATAGTGAATCACATAAATCTGTTGTCAAAATTTTATGATAGCTCATATTTTACCACCTAGTAAAAATTGTTGAGTAGTTGATGTAAAACAGGCAATTCTATATCATGATGAAGAGAAACGATAGCTGATCCCCCCTCTCATCCTCTTTAATATAAACTCAAATGAACTACCATCACTGCCCAAGAAAGAACCTTTGAGGAAGTGGAAGACAAACTAGAACAGGCCCTAGCTACCATGCTGAAATACTATCAGAGCAACTCATTTAAACCAAAACCAACCAAGATACAAATAAGCTCCTTCCTTTGTGAACCTAATTTTTTTTTTAATTTCTATAATCAATCTTTACATTGACAAGTCATAAATGACATTTCACTCAAGTATGTCTTCAAAAACGGATATAGTATTCCCATCTTTATAAGAGACTCAATATTCAGCTCAGCGGTGCTATTATTCATGTGAAACTTCATAAAAAGAGATCTACTTGTTTTCATAAATTTTTATTTTTACTCTGTAGTAGTTATGAAATTCATACAATCTACATGAATTATTGTTATTTTTTTCCTTTCTTAACATGTTTGGCCTCATAGTATTATTGTGTTTAAATGTAGCCAGAGTATGTTTGGTCTAAGACGAAAGGAACATGTTAATGCTTTGGAGCTAAATGTCTTAGGGGGTATAAGGTCAGTTCAATATTTGGATAAATGAAGCCTACACTGCAAAAATTATGAAAGTCAATTTTTATGGTAAAAGAGAATATTGTACCAAAAAACTACTTATAAAAAGTAGATTCGAATCGCCTGGGCTGCTTGGCAGTATCACTGTAAGTCTAAGAGTTATTCACAAACTAAATAATCTCATTTACGACAAAAACGCTGAAAGTCCATGTGAAACACTGCAAAAATGTTGTAAGTCTTTCTGCACTGTCGCTATACGATGCCCAGTTAAAAAGATTAGTAATTTGACTAGTACAAGTGCAAGTATATGGTTTGCTTTAGAATCTGATTTGTTTATGTCCATCTTCAAAGAAGTAGTAGTGTATTTTAAAATATTATAATGAAAAGAAAGACAGACAGTAAATTCTGATAGCAGTGATGAAAGTACTGTGCCGAACTTAAACGTGGGATCTAAGAAGAGAAAAATAAGTAGTGAAAGGTTATGTGATGTAAAGCAATTGATGTGAATTTCACACGAAATAGGGCCAGATTGTAAGTGCTCCTGGTACAAATGTTTTCAAAAGATTGGACTTTTGGAAAGAAATACCATTATTAAGGAATTTAATAGAATGTCGAGCAGAGATGAGTAGAACAGTACTTGACTGGTCTTGTATCCATGACTTCAATAAAGGACCCAGGCCACAAAAAAATGAAAAGATGCCAAGTTTTGTGATAAAGCATATTTTTATAAAGTAAGAGTTCAGCATCTGGTTGATAACCATAGTAACTGTATTGAAGTGACAGTTTGCATGAGAGCTTTTGTTTCATTACATGGCATTACTGGATGTCATCTACAAATGATTCAGGAGTCTCTAAAAAAACTGGTAAGGCACCTACAGATATGAGGGGTAAACATAAACAAGTACATTGTGCAAAGCCTTCTACTACATTTGTGGCTGTAAAAGATCATATTAGTTCCTTTAAGGACCTACAGAGTCACTACAATAGAAAAAAATCTACAGTGGTATATGTACCAGACAGTCTAACAGTAAGAAAAATGTACAATATGTAAAAGGCTTTATCTCTTCCAGATATTTCATATAACTATTATATGTAGAAGTTAGTTAGAAACTAGTTATATGTAGAAATATTAAATATTGATCAACTGTATAATAAGTGTGTAATTAGATTTATGTTAAAAAATACATATTATAAAGTAAACATAGAACACGGTATAAATACAAGAAATGTAACCCTAAATAACGTAAAAGTGAGCAGTCCTAAACATACACTATGTCAAAACCATATATATACTGTAGGAACAAAATTATTTAATAAGTTACCACGAATATTAGGGCAAAACCTTACCATAAAGTAAAAAAAGAAATCTTTAAATGGATTAGAGACAACATAAAATAGGGAATTATTTAAAACAAAAAATTACTTTTAGTTTAATTTTATTAGAAAAATTGTATGTTTAATTTATATTGTTTTTAATATTTTTTGTTAAATGATTGATAAAAACCTCATTAGTTAATTGTAAATGATATGGGAAATGACACACTCACAATATCCTAGATATCATTGTGTGTCAAAACGGTTAGCAGTAGGATTTAGTGCTAAGGAGGTGTAAAAGAAACTAAATTATTGTTAATTTTTACTACTATTTTCTTACTGAAATGTGATTTATTGTCTAGTATTTGTATTTACACTGTACTTTAATTACTATTTAACTGGGAATAAGCCACAATTAAAGGTAAAAATATGTTTATTGACGTTTCAATTTCCACTTCGGAATTGTGGCTTATTCCCAGTTAAATAGTAATTAATTTACAATGCCACAAGAAAATAGCTTCAGAACAATATTACACTGTACTATTGCTAATAAATAAATAAATAAATATGAGTTTTATTGCAAAATTTCTAATAATAACTTAAACAACATTAAATTTGGATATCCATGCAGCGATAACTGCAGTAATTGAGATAAATATACTGCTGAGAAAACAGCACTATTGAAAAATAAAAATGATTCAATGAAGCCAGAAAATGACACGAAAATTCTTCAAGAACTAAGAAAGAAGGAAATAGAACATGAATTGCATTTGCGAAAGGCTGAAGTGTTCTATGATTGTAAAAAAGAAGTATAATGATTAAAGAGTTCGAATCAATAGTGATGGATTTCCAAAAAACCTTCCTATACCAAACATTACAACAAATGACATGTATTATAGAAGACAACTTACTTTATATTCTTTTAATATTCACATGCTGTTTACTGGCGATTCCTACTTTTATTGTTACCCCGAAAATATCATAGCTAAGGGTTCAGAGGAAGTTATTTCGTTTTTGCATAATTTTATATTTTTACCATAGTCATAGAAGTAGATCAGCCCTAATTAGCCAATGGACTCAGTTTGTTTCATCCAGTTTTAAAACAAAATGTCCATTTGCCATCAGACCTTTTCGAGAAATAGTTTGTGAAGCCATTCATCCTCAATATATTTCATTTAGAACAAGCTACAATGGGCCTTTCAAAACTTATGTGATTCGGACCAACACTATTTTACCAACTGATGATATGGCAGGACCCCAAGAATTTTTTTTACCCAACAGAAGTTATACAGGTAATAAATTCTTATTTATACCCACTTTTCTTCATTATTTTGTCTTTCAGATTTGTTGCCAATTAGTTTGGACAATTGGAAGGACTTACAACATCTTAAGCAGTTTTGTGGTAATGCCGCCAAACATTTTTTCAATAGCCTCGTTCACAACACAAAGGAACAAAGAACAAGAGTTAGTCTTGTAAAGAAGAAACAGACTGCAAAAAAATGTGCTAAGAAAAAATAATATAATAAAAAAGACAATTATTGCTATGTTTAGTAGTGGTAGTTACATAATTTTATTTTCGACTAGCATTCTTTTGGTTATTGCTTTAATGACATACACTGTTTTTGTCATTTTTTTTTGTGTATTTTCGATCAAATCATCAAAAATAAAATAAATTGAAAAAACATAAGTCTAAGAATATTTTTATCGTTTTCACTAATAAATTACATATTCATTGATAAACAGTTTGACCGACCTAAAATTTATATTAGAACATTTTAAAATTAGTCTTTGAACTTTAAAATTAACTTTTATACAAAATGGATAAAAGTGACCTTCATCATTTTTGCCATGTAGGCTTCAAATAGTGTGTGAATGGTTCCAAGTGTGTGAATTTATAATTTCATAAACATTGTGATTATTTTTCATCTACAGCATTCTGTCCTATTTCTTCTTGTTAGGGGTTTGTTTATTTCTAAAACTATTTCAATTGTCAAAATACAGTGTCATTTTATATTCACCTCTGTATTCACATGTGTTTATATTTTGAGACAATAAAGTATTTGATAAATGAGTCACAAATTGGAATTAGTATCCTAAACAACAACTTGATATACATTTTGTATGTTTCATTATCAGTTGCTAAAAATAAAACACCATAGTCATGATCAGTTAATTAGGACATCAAAAATAAATAATGCATTGCAGTTAAATCAAATAAATATGAATCATTGCATATTCTACTACTTATTGTTAAATATTGTGAGAAATCAGTTTTTTTATTAGTTAAATAAAATTTTAAAATATAATAAAACCTACATAATATTAAACTGTTCCCACAGGAAGATTGAACTAACAAAAGAATCATTTCCCCTTTATTATATCGATCATATTAGAATCTTCTTCTTCTTAGTGTGCCTGTCTATTCCAAACGCTGGCGATCATTCTGGCTATGATGACTTTGTAGGTTGCTATACGAAATAGCTGTGTTGAGGTCTTTCTATACCATGGTCTCAGGTTACCAAGCCAGGATATTCTTCTTCGTCCTGGGGCCCTTTTTCCTTCAATTTTACCTCTTAAAATGCATTGAAGTAGCTTGTATCTGCCTTGATTTCTCATTATACGGCCCAAGTACTGCAGCTTACGGTCCTTCATGATGTTGACCAAATCCGCAGTGTACTCCGTCTTCATTGGTGACTCTGTCATGGTATCTTCAAGATCCTTCTGTATGACCAGCATAGCTCAAAAGCCTGAAGTTTTGATAGAGTTTCCGCCTTCAATGTCCACGTTTCTACTCCTTACAGAAGCACTGAGTACACATAACATTTAAGGAGCCTTATTTTTGTTTCTAGGGTGAGGTCATGGCTCTTGAACACAGAACTCATAGTCAATAATGCACTCTTTGTCTTTCTGATGCGACATTTAATCTCTTGGGTATTGTCCCACAACTCATTGATTATAGTTCCCAAGTAGTTATATTGTGCGTTATATTAGAATGAAAAACCATATTGACTAATGTACAAGATACTAGGCCAATAGCCACTTAAAAAATACCATAGAGCTTATACATTATATATATTAATACATCTTACCCATGAAAATTAAGATGATAAGCAACAATGTCTGCAATTGCTTGTGTATCTGCTGCAGATCCGGAACGACAACAGTAGATATGGTCAGTGACTTTGGTGAGTTTGTCTGCTACACGGTTTGCTATGTAAGCCCTAGAAATATAGATCTAAATTATGAGGGTTTTGGCTTAAATTTTATTTATTTACCCAGTAGTTGTGCGAGAATCTGCTCCTATAACAACGCCGCCGTCAAACTCTGCAGCCATAATAGAGGTCTGAAATATTAGTTTATAATTTAATAGATGATAAATCAAATTGTATCGAAATGTAACTTACGCCTGTACTGTGAGCAGCATCTCTCCAATCATCAGGACCAGTCATTGCACCAAATTCATTCATAAGAGGCATTTTTATGAGTTTAATTACAAGAATACAAGCTGAGAAAAATTACTTGTAATTCTTCAATGCAATATTATGCCAGTAATCACAATTTGACATTTGATTTGTCTTTTGATTGACATTGACAGACGACAGATATTTAATGCATATTGAAAAAGCAAGGAGTTTTGGTTAATTTAAAGGAAAATTTTAGTTTAACCACAGCGTTCTATTTATTATTTATACATTAACAAGCTCAATTAAATTGAAATGTTTGGACGATTTTCACATTTGGTCCCATTGAAGATATTTACTTTCATGAATTTAAGGTGCAGAAGTTTCTGAAGTCACAACTAATCGTAGTTTAAATATATGTAAGCAAATAGTTTACATAGACATGTATTATATGTCTATGGATTCTTACGTCATATTTGTAACCTAAATTTGATAATTTTTTGACAGAAAAGAAAACATATATAACCTTAAAATATTCACGTTGCATTAATAAATAAAGTAACTAACAGGTTTAATTTAATTTTGCTAGATTTGTAGAGACCTACATTATTTCCTATTTTTTCCTTTAAAATGGAGGAGGATACATCAACAAAGAAAAAAGCTCACAGAGATAGACATTCGGGTAAATTATTTATTTTAATAAAAATAACTTGTTTACTATTTTGTATTTAACTTTGGTATCGGAATATTAAAAATTTTGTAGTCTGTTGTGCTTCCCTTAAACAAGAATACGTAGATATTATTGACCTACTTGCTTGACTTGCATCTAGAATTAACAAAACATGGTAGTATCTGTTTGGGACTGCCATCAAGTGAGAGTTCAATATTAGGAACATAATTATTATAACAATGTCTAGAAAGTAATTTACACTGAGACCACAAGTCTAAAAAATAGATTAATTTGCAGCACGATCTAGGACTATCATGTTGCAATTGTAACATTTGAGAGCATTAGGATATATTAATATACCTATAATTTTATTTGTTTTAGGTAGAAAATTGGAAAAGAAGAAAGCAAAAAAAGAAGCTCAAAATGGTGAAGTGGGTGCCAAAGAACGTAATCCAAAAGCATTTGCTTTTAATTCAGCTGTAAGAGCTGAGCGGCGATTTAGAAGAAAGGAAGATATAGATACCAAAAAGCAACATGTCCCTCTTGTAGACAGAACACCTATTGAACCTCCTCCCATAGTAGTTGCTGTAGTAGGTCCACCAAAAGTGGGAAAAAGTACAGTAATAAATAATTTAATCAAATTATTTACCAAGTTACCATTAACTAACATAAATGGTCCTGTTACAATTGTAACAAGTAAGAAAAGGCGAATAACTTTTTTTGAGTGCAATAATGATGTGAATTCAATGATAGATCTAGCAAAAGTTGCTGATTTAGTATTATTATTATGTGATGCAAGTTTTGGTTTTGAAATGGAGGTTTTTGAGTTTTTAAACATATGCCAGGTCCATGGCATGCCGAGAATAATGGGTGTATTGACCCATTTAGATTTGATTAAAAACAGCAAAACACTAAAAACAACCAAAAAAACTCTTAAACATAGGTTTTGGACTGAAGTTTATCCTGGAGCCAAGCTGTTTTACTTATCTGGAATAATACATGAGGAGTATCTCCGAAATGAAATTAAAAATCTTGGAAGATTTATTTCTGTAATGAAATTCAGACCTCTACAGTGGAGAACAACTCATAGTTATTTAATAGGAGACAGGTATGAAGATTTGACTAATCAAGAGTTAATAAGGAAAAATCCAAAATGTGACAGGAATGTTGCTTTGTATGGTTATATTAGAGGAGTACCCTTAAAGAAGGAGAGCTATGTACATATTGCAGGTAAACTATCAAAGTTTTAATACACGTTATTAAACTATTTCACTCGTATACATTCAGGGATTTTGAATGTTCTCTATTATTTTTCACACAAAGGAAAAGGAAAACACAAGATAATCAGAGTGTTATTCAAAAATAAAAAATGATAGTGCAAGTGATCCTCTTATTTGTAATTTAAATATACCTTCTTCTTATAGTGCTGTGCACCTATAGTACGTTGGCGAATTATCTTAATGCCAGATGTCTGTATTTTGCGGAATGCAAAAGATCGCCAGTGTTATTTATGCCTGTCCAGTTCTTTATGTTCTGTAGCACAACATTCGTTTGCGACCTACTCTCTCTTGCCTTCAATCTCTCCCTGGATGATTAGTTAAGGGATTGTGTATTTTTTTTTTCTCTCAGTATTTGCCTTTTTTAAGACTTCCTCGTTTCTCACCCTATCTGTCCATGGTATGCATAACATTCTTCGCAATGTCCACATTTCAAAGGCCTTCGACTTATTAATGGAAGGTACTCTTAACATCCATGTTTCCATGCCATATAACAATATAACATAGCACTTAACCATCATGTAGCAGAGATTGAAGGAAAGATTGCAGTTACATAGTAGCGGTTTAAATTTGATAAAAGCTTGTCTTGCTTGTTCAGTAAACTACAATCACATACATAATAATATAATAATACGATACAATTCCATACAGTTATAGTATAATAGCTGATCACTTAAAAATGGTTTCTATGAATCGGCGAAAAGATTATTTTTGCCTAATATTCCTTTACAAAATTGTTAATAATTTGATAAATTGCCCTGAACTTTTAAATCAATTAGGTCTTAACACTCTTTATGTAACTAGACATACTTCATTATTTCATCTGCCATTTCATCAATTTAATTATGAATACTTCAAGCCTCTTACTCATATGGTGAGACTATATTGGTACCAAAGTGATCTGGACTTATTTTTCCAGTCCTTAGAACAATTTAAAAATGTGATAAAGCGACTGCTATTTGTGTAATATTAGTTTGTATTCAAGTTAATTAATAGTTTTTGTTAAACTTTACTAATTATTTTCCAATGTTGTGCTTACTTTGTAAAATTTTATATATGTTGTTCCAATGTAAAAATGGTATATCTGTTAATAAATAAATCACAAATTATTAGTGCTGTATGTGTGGCTCTTAAAGTTATTAGCATCATCTGCTACAAAGAAGTTTGATTTGTGGCTATGTCTTGTCACAATTGTCCTTAAACAAATATGTTTTCATTTTCAATGTTCTAAAAATTTCAGGGCATGCAAGTATTGTGTGAACTATGGCCCTATAAAAAATTGAGAAGGCAGGAATCTGTAATTTATCTGGTTGTAACGAAATAGGTTCACATAATACTCTGGAGACTGATAGGGACTTTCCAAAATCAAATCAACTAGCACTTTAATTCTGTGTTTTACTAAAGATATGCTTTTTTCTAGTTGTTTTAGAATAGCTTTAATAAGTTTATATATCACAACTTTATCAGTCCCAATTTCTGCCATCAGACACAATTGGAGCAGCAGGAGGTTTTTGTTTATATGTGCTCACACAGTCTAAAAGTTCAGTTTCAACCTGATGAGTTAGTTCATGCTGAGTCCGAAAGCTCCTTAGAGCAATATTTAATTAAACATTTTTGCTTTTAGGGTTTGGTGATCTAAAAATTCATGATCTGTCATTCCTCCCAGATCCCTGTCCACTGCCAGAAGAACTCAAAAAACGAGCACTTATAGAGAAAGAAAAACTGATATATGCTCCATTCTCGGGTGTGGGGGGTATAGTATATGACAAAGATGCTGTTTACATGGAACTTGGGGGTTCACACAGTCACACAAAAAGGGAAGATGAAACAGATAACTTTGTAACAAACTTGATAAGTGCGAAGGAGACTTTAGATGAAAAATTAAAGCATTCAGAACTTCAGATTTTCACTGGTGGTGAGAAGATTACAGCTGGTGATGTTAGCGATAGTGAGGATGACACTGATAATATTCAGTTATTTGAAAAGAAGGATAAAAAAGGTGTGAGTTCTGAATTAGATGATGAGTTAAATAAACTAAGGAAAAAATATGTAGAAGTGGAAGAAGAAGGCAGGGTTAGAAGAAAAGTAGTTTTTGATGATACATTAGAACATTTGGAGTAAGTATTTATTTGTAAGCTTTTATTAATATAAATAGTGAGATTTTTATTGGAATTATAACAAGCTGCTAGTGTAGTATACATTATATAATATACATACTAACTAACTGAGAATAAGTTTGCAATCTTTGCCTGATATTCAACAACACATATCACACAACAGGACTTGTTACACAGGTGTAAAGGAAGCATGTATTTGTCTCTCTTGGACAGAGGAACAAACCATAAAAGTTTCCAGTCGGAATAAAATATACAGAAAAACTTCAACCTCCTGTGCACCCTTAGATATCATATGCTATATAATATAATTTACTTAAATATAGTTTTCTGATAACTTATTCATCATCATCTTGGTGCTAGAGCCCTTAGAGGGTTGTACCACCTCAGCTTTGGTCTACCCAAAGCTGAGAGGAAAGATTATTATCTTTCTTCTTATCATTCTGTATACTGATTGCGAAAAAGCATTTGATAAGGTAAATCACTGTATTCTTTTAAATAAACTGGTACAGTTTGGTTTCTCAAGAAAAGCTTTTAATTTATTAAAATCTCATTTGTCAGATAGAAAGAATACAGTAAAAGTAGGTAATTGATTTTCTCACCAATATGTATCATCCTCAGGAGGAGCAAACTAGGGCCATTGCTCTTTATTTTATTTATTAACGACTTGCTAGACTGTATTAAATCTTGTAACAGCTTAATGTATGCCGATGATTTTAAACTTTTTAAAACAATCTCTAATAAGAAAGATGCAGTCAAATTGTAAGATGATCTAAGATCAGTTATTCAATGGTTTAACGATTAAAAAATTACTTAATGTTAAAAAGTGTGCATTGGTTTCATATACGCGAAAAACTCAATAGTGTTATTGAAGATTATTATATTTTAATGATAATCGAGGCGAGAGAGTGAGTGTTATGAAGGATCTTGGGTTAAATTCTAAATCAACATGAAGTTCAATATACACTTTTATGAAATAACTAACAGAGCTTATCGTTCTTTGAGTTTTGCTGGTCTCCTACTGCATTTTCAAGCTCAGAAATGATTGAAAAAGGGCAAAAACGATTTTTTCTATACATAAGGAAAAATAAGAATATCCACATGTGGTCTCATACAGGGTAATGTTAGACTCATTTCAGTTGCAATCACTTGCCACTAGAAGAAACAGTCAGGTCATTATGTTCATATACTTGATTTTTAACAGTATTAAGTACACAAACTGTGGTTTAGTTGAGTTTATTTACTTTAGAGTAAAAATAAGGTTAAGGATAACTAACCTAGATCTACTCTTTACAAATTACTATAGAAACATATCACCAATAAACAATATGTTAAAAATTTGTAATGAAGTATTTAGTAGACTGACACATGTGGATATATTTAATGTAAAAAGCTGTGAACTTAAGACGTTGCTTGCTTATCAGCACTAGGTTTAAGTGGTTTATTGTATTTTTTTCTTATTGTATTATTAATGTTCGTTTCTGTCATTTATTGTATTTTTTACATGTCATTACTATTAGTCTATAGTGTTTGTAAGGTGTCTAAATAAATAAATAAATAATTATTACTTAAAAACGCTTAATACACAATATGTATTTTTTAAAACCTACAGAAATGATGATTTAGTTTCTAAATACTCTGCTCAGAGGCCATTTTCTTAATATTAATTCACAATTATATCATTTTAGTATATACATGTTAATATCCTCCTAAGCTTATGTGCGACTAAGATCAAGCTAAGTTTGTTTGAGTTAAAACCATTAAGAACTGTAATCTAAATGTGACACCAAAATTTTTGAGTTTACTTAATAGGAGCTCATGATTAAATCTGTCAAATGCTTTTAATATTTCTATCTTTTTCCCAAGTGGAAATCGAAACGTTGAATAAACGTATTTTCAAGTGAAATTGTGTTTAATTATCATTAAAGATACTTATAACACTAAAATGCCACATGAAAATAGCTTCAGAACAATATTGACTGTAGTTATATCAGATAAAAAAAATAGGTGTCTAAATTATAATTCCAGAAATGAATAGATATTACGTCATACTTCTGTAAAACATATCCATTATATTTATGAAATATTTATATGTTATAAAATGATTATATATATATATATATTATATATATATATATATATATATATATATATATATATATATATATTATATATATTTATATATATATATATATATCGATGGCATAGCGCACAATTGTGGTAAGTGCAAAAACTAACATTTTACAGTACAGCCATTTGAAAGTTCTGTTGGATGGTGTGTGTAGGTTTTTGTTTCTATAAATTTAGTTTTGTGTAAGCTTGAGTACAGAACCGTTATCTGTCACATAGTTATTAGTTTAAAAAAGTTTACTTAATTTTAAATACTTAAATATAGATTTTTGTACTTATAGGTATGTACTTACCACATGTGGAGTTTCTTATATTGTACATACCCCATTTGACAGTTATATACTATAAGTTTCTAAATGAAATTAAATAAAAAATATCAAGGAAAAATTGTTTAATTCGCAAAAAGAATGAATACAAATATTTATTCATCATCAGAATTATCATATCTTATTCTATTACTTGTTGGTAAAGTGTTATAAAATGCTTCATACTCTCTTGGTATGACGTGAGTTTCCAATAAACTGAGCAAATCCTTCTTTTTTTGTTCACTGATTGGAAGCAGATTGGGATAAGCCTTCTTTAAATTTATTTGCTGCAAATCTGTTACCTGCAAGATAACAAACTTATCAGTGTAATCCATTCTCACAGCTTTACAAAGGGCAGTAAAAAGAAGAAAGAAGGCTACTCTAGTCAAAATTAAAGTTGAAAAGTGTGTTCACCACTATCTTAGTTGCCTCCTGATGATGCTAATTTAATTCAAGTGTTAAGTTTAGTGTTTAGTAGTTTTGGTGATAGTGGTGAACACATTTTTAACTTTGATGAAAAGCTAAAGGTTTCAATTTTCCAACTTAGTCAAAATAAAATGTTAAATAATACAATAACTTTACCTTGGCATTCCTCTTCTGATTAATATTAATGTTCATAAACTCTTCAGCATTTAAATTGTACTTATAAAGAATAAGGTTAGGTTTCCCTTTAGAAAATCGTAGCCACTTAATTTTTAACCAATTTACCGTTTCCCCGTTGGTGTTTTTTGTTGTGTTGTGTAATACTTCTGTTGTCAGCGCTTTAAAATCGTGAAAATCTTGGTTATTTAATACATTGACTTCATAATTTCTTGGATTAATTCTGGCAGTCGAGATTAGCAGTGCCCATTCCCTGGTAGTGTAAATTTTCTTATGCTTCCTTGCTCTTTCTATAGTGGCATGCATTGCATCTACTTCTAAGTAGGAATGTCCACTCTCCATGTACTTTAAATCTATTATTTTTAAATGGCTAGATACATTTACAGCATATAACATTGCAGCAGAGATGTGTTTATTTCGATTCTGACCTCCACATGTGTCAGAGAAACTAGATACATACTTGACAGTATCAGGTAAGGAACCTAAATATTTTAAAATGCATGTAGCTACTTCAGTACTTCCCTTCTGACCATTGCACTCATCCCACACATAACAAAAACCATTTTTTGAATGGGGTTCAAAAATCGTAAAATTGTATGCATTTAACTTTCTTTTATAAAATATTGCAGAGTCACCTGCAAATGGAAGTGTTAAAATGCTTTGTAGATCAAACGAAATAGATCTAAATGTTTTTCCATGATCCTCTTCTGCTCTTATTTTGTCAGAATGTTTCATCTGCATTGCTTCCTTTTCTCTATTCTTGTGTGCTTGCCACTCATTTTCCAAGTCACTTTTGTCTAAAGATGCATTGTATGTATTACATTTGGTACATTGATCCTTTTTTGGTTGATAAAAGCTTAATACTGGATCATATGAATGAAAAATGTTTTTATATACGTAATATGACACAGGTTCATCTGTACACTCTTTGTATAAACGGTACATTATACTTATATTTAAATCAGATGCCAAATATAGTTTTGTACTATCACGCCTGCAGTAATGAGACTCCATCCTAGGAAAAGAGTCTATGTGAGATTTTACAAGTGCATTATTGTTCTCTGATGTAGCATTCACTGGTCTTTTACCAATTTTTTTATCAGTGCCAGAATAATTGCCCATATTTGACAAAGTCAGAGTATCTAACATGCGGTGACTTATTGATAATGTGTTACAAAGAAACTTCATGCACACTCTAATTAATTTTCCTCCACGTGACCTTAAATGATATTGTTTGGACATATTTTTTGGGTTTTTAACATTTAATCTACGGCGAACAACGTCACTAAATGTTAATAAAGATGCTAGATACTGTTTTTGCTTACAACTGTCACTCAAACCCCAATATTCTTGACATAACACTTTTCTCTGATCTTCATTAAAATTAGCGTTGCATTTATATCTAAAATAATAATAACAATTATGTAATGATTGGGCACTACTTAATGTTTTTCTGGTTCATTCAGCTATTTTTCTTGGCTGGGTACTAAATCCACAATCAGTACCCAAAAGAAATAAATAGAAAGTCAAAACTTACCGGCATTTACTACAATTGATGTTCTTAACAGCTTTCATAGGAACAATTTTTCCTGACCTATTTACATATTCCTGACCACTTATACGATTCTGTTTGGCTTTGTTACGTTTCCAGTTTTCTGGCTGAGCTTTTCTTTGCCTTTTCATTCTAGGTACTGAAGGTGCATCATTGTTCTCATTATTTTCATTATTATCTAATTAAAATAAATAAATAAATTGTAAAATTAAAATATGGGCAGAAATAAAGTAAACAGTGAACAGTAAAGTAAAATAAACAATAGAATAATTTCATATTTTACCAAAAATATTTTGAAGCCCTTCTTCATGATCAGACTCCTCGGAGTCCTCTTCACTAGTTTCAGGATGATAACTTAAGGAACTATCATCTGAAATGTCCAATTGATTATTCGTTGCAATTACTTCACTACCACTAGGTATCTGTATCTCCATATGACTAGATGGTTCAGTAGTTGGCTTCAAATCTAATAATTCTGCTAGAAACAAAAAAAAACACAATACAACCTGTTTTGCAATGTTTAGATAAATAAAAATGTTAGTATTTACAAATATATTTTTAATTCTAAAATAATATAATTTCCAATTTAGAGGTTATGAAGATCCATGTCTTAGTTTTTATGTTTCACTTACCTGTTTTTTGTTGTTCACACGCAAGTTGTACTAGACGATGTGCTCTACTATTCATATTTCACTTATTTTAGACTTCAAATAATATTAAACTTTATTAAAATGGAACGGAGCAAATACGTTGTTACTTACACCAAAGATTCTTTGCTTACACTAGTGGCAAGTTCACTCTGACAGTAAGGCTGCGTTGCCAATTTGTGTGTCAAAATGTGGTATGTGCGTACTTACCACATTGGTGCATTCATGTTAGAACAGTGAAGAGAAACCATTTGTGGTAAGGGCACATACAACATTTGGCTCATTTAATTTTTCTTATATTTAGCAGTTAACACATTATGTCAACTTGTATTTCTTACACGGTTCATTATTTACTTACCACATTTGTGCACAATAAACTTTGGTTCAAAATAATGTACTATGTGTACTTAACTAATTTTCTTAAAAATTTGTACTTACCACATTTGTGCACTATACCATCGATATATAGTCCCAAGATTCCTAAGAGGAACATAGGGCTTCCACAAAGTGTCTCCAGCGAACTCTATTTCTGGCTAGTGCTTTGAGTTCAAGCCAGGATTTTCCCATTTTTCTCCCTTCGTCCAGTACTGTCCTTCTCCAAGTTCCCTTAGGTCTGCCTACTTTCCGTCGGCCTTGGGGATTCCAATCCAGCGCTGTCCTGGCAATGTCATTTGGCGGTCTACGGAGTGTGTGGCCCAGCCATCTCCATTTTCTTCGCCTTATTTGCTTTATGACATTTTCTTGGTTGCTTTGGTTCCATAAATTTTCATTGGAGATTCGGTTAGGCCAAAATATATGAAGGATTTTTCTTCGAAAATGATTACAATGTATCTATTTTCTAGGAATGACGATGATGAATCAACAGATGAAGATACTGAGGAACATCCAAATGCTGATATACAATTGTCTCAAGGCAAAAGTAACAATGAAATACATTCGAAAGTAAAAGATATTTTAAACAAAATAGAGTCTAGCCAGAAAAAGAAGCAAGAAGATGATGAAGAAAGTGAAAATTCGGATGATGATGAAGAGGATGGGTCAGAAAGTGAAGGCGAAGATGACGAAGACACCGGAATGAAATGGAAAGATAATTTATTGGAAAAAGCGAAAGATTCATTTTTGGATCGACAGAGTACAAATAAAAACTTAATGAGACTAGTCTACGGTATGTTTCATTTTTTTTTCTTTATAATCATATAAGAGTTTTCTAACTAAAAGATTTAATAATTTATTAACAATTTCCAAGCCAGTGGCAAATAAAATAATAACAGACATCTTTGAGTCAAGTTTTCGAGTCATTCCTTGGAGTTCTTGTTAAGTTATTGTTATCTTCATTAATTTGTAATATTTTAGATTTCCAAGAAGAATCGGCAGAATCAGAAATAAAAAATGAAGACGATGACGAAGACAATGAAATTGGTGGTCTATTTAAAAAAGTCTCGAAACAACAACATGAACTAAAGCTAAATAAAGATGTTATGAACTTAACTGAGAGTTCGTTAATGTTACCTTGGAATGCTGTCATGAAAGATTGGACTGAATCAGATGTAAGTAAGTTGTTAGGTTTTTCTAATTTTTAATTGCAATCAATTAAAGCTATTTCATATTAACACTAGTTTTTAAATATATCTATTTTCACTGTTTTCTTAATTTTTATTTATTTAGCAATGAATTTATTTCCTCATGTATTAAGAGAAGTTTTGATTTCTTGTTTTTATTCTTTAGAACTTTTCGGAATGGAAGTCTTGGTTTATTTTATCTATTGTTTTTACTTTTAAATTTTCAATTACTATATGCAATTATATTATTGGCTATAAGCATGTACAGTATGTTTTATAAAATCGTCCAGTCTCTTCTAGTCGAAGCCGAAATTTAACCAACATAGCACAAAATGAATTACCAAATTTACTAGACAGTTGGCACTGAGTACTGTGAATAGCGTATATACAAATAAGGACTTGAATGATTAACAATTGATATTTTATTTCAGAATAAAGAACTAATAATAAATTGTTTCGTCACTGGTAAATGGAAAGACAGTGAAGACGCAAATGAACTACTAAAGCTAGACGATGCAGCTGATTTAAGTGATGATTCCGAAGTTTTTGGCGACTTTGAGGATTTAGAAACGGGCGAAAAACACACGGGCGATTCTTCAAAACCTCAGCAAGTAAAAGGCGAAAAGCGTAAACGAGAAAACCTGGAACAAGACAATAAAGAAGATCCCCAGGCCTTAGCCGAAAAGAAGAAAAAACTGAAGGAGAAATTTGACGCCGAATATGATTCTCAGGAAAAACTTAGTTATTATGATGAACTGAAGTTATCAGCTGACAAGCAAGCACAGTTAAATAAAACGGTATTTGAAAATATGCCTGATGATATTCGGGTGCAAATTGAAGGTTATAGACCTGGAATGTATGTAAGAATGGAATTTCAGAGCGTACCTTCAGAGTTTATAGAACATTTTGACCCCACTTATCCACTAGGTAAGTCATTAATTTACAGTTATTTAGTTATTAATAAACTTATATGCTAATAGGGAACTTGCACATTTTTTTTATTATATAATAACGTTCAGTTTCATTTAAAAATAAGATTTCCAAAATTTCACGCCTCAAAAACTCATAATGACTTAGCAATACAAATTTAAAATCTTCCGTGTACAAAAATCATTTCAAACGATCGAAAAAGCGCGCGAACCCTTGTGACGTCACTTGGTGGTATTGTCTGTATGTCAGGTCTTCTGTCTTGTATAAAAGTATAAACTATTTTGTTTATATTGGTGTTTGATACAGTTTTTGAATAGAGAGTGTTGAATTGTGTGTGTTTTTACTACGGAAAGTAAAAGTAAATACTACAAGTGTTGTTTAGTACCATTGTGTAAAAGTACAACCATTAAAACCCCCAACAAAATATTTATTAGATTACCAGTACAGTACAGATCATGTTATTTCTTTTTACTTGAACCCATCCTACAGCTGCATCTCCATATGATTCTCTGCCAGATCTAAATGCAAACGATGAATAAGTTAATTTGATTAAATTTCAGTACAATAGCATAAACATATAAAATTGACACTACTTAATATAAAGTACTAAGTTTTATCATTAAATACTTATTATGAGAATAATAATCACAATAAAATTAATCAAATAGGAGTATATGTACTTACTTATCTGCTTTAACTCCCCGAACTTCTCCCAGGGAAAAATTTTCACCGTTTTGAAAATATGTGGCTACCATAAACATATTTACAATGGGTAAGTTATCAGACTGGCCTTTGGAAAAACCCTCTTCGGTCATTTTAAAAAAAAATATCTGAACAAAAACACTCAAATATTATTAAATATATAGTTCACAGCAACTATCTAAAGATTTATAAAACTGAAATACACCATAAAATTACTATAACAAGTAAACGAATGTCAAACGTAATGAATTAATAGTGCCAATCTTTGAACATTCTGACTATATGACGTCACGACCAATGAGGACGCGTTTTGGACTGGCTGCTATAATTTGAATTTTCTCTCGATTTTAATCGTTTTTAGAGGCCAAACTAAAGATAAAAACAACTTTTTTTGTTTGAAATATATTTTAAATTATGTTTTGTTATGATTTAAGGCATTTTTTTCGAATTTAAAATTTTATGCAAGTTCCCTATTTTGCGGGTACTAACATAAATTGTGTACACACACTTCTTCATACTTAATTAAATGAAATAAACAAGTCATATCTATAAAACAAAATGAATAAACAAAACTAACGCAAAACGAAACTCAAAGGATGTATGTTGTTCACTTAAAATCATTTTGGACAAATTTTATAAATCCTCACCTACTTTATGGGAGTAGGATATTCATAATTTTAATAAAAATTATGAAATTCACTTGGTTGAGCAAACTTTTCAGATGTATGTGTTTTTTGTTGATATTTCCTTTGGCTTACAGTGAATCACAGGCAGGGGCGCACGGAAATTCAACACGTCTAGTATTTCTGTTAAGATCAACAGATTTCAATATTTCCGAAATATAATTAGTTTTGAAAAAAAAAGTAATTCCAAATTGTTTCTGCATACTTGGAAGTGAACAACATCTGACATATGAAAGTCTGTATTCTGCTGAGTTTTTGTCCTTATATAATAAATGTTGAACAGTTGTTGTAAAGAGTTTTAAAATCTTTGAAGTCATTTTATTCCATGTTAATTACATTGAATGGTTTAGAATGACAGCAAAGTTGTGCTAGCTGCTGCCAGTCCCAGTGAGTCATGATTTTTAAAAAGGGTGTTTTTTTCGTTCTCTTTCAATAAGAGAATAATCACTATCCACTTCTAAATGGGTATGCCCACGTAATAAAAACTTGTGATTTATAATTTTTATCTATGGATACTTGTGAATTATCCACAAGGAAAGCATTACCATATTTCTGTTCTGGGATGGGCAATTATCGGACCACACAGTAATCTCTCTTATGTTTTCATTTAAAAGCTTCAGTCCACTTCAAAACTCCTGAAGCCATTTCGCTTGCTTGCCCCACGTCCAGACTTTGATTCATCCCACATCATGCAAAAAGTAATATTACCTGAAGTGTCTGAAATCGTATAATTGTATGTCCATAACGTGAGCTTATAAAAAAACTCTGCTGGTTACTTAGGACAGGCGTTAGCAGAAATGTCTGTAAACCAAGTGTGAATAATTTTATTAAAAAAAAATAAAAATTAATGGGAAAATCCCAGTAGTTGGCTGTATACCATCGTTTAAAAAAACATACAGAAGTTAAAACACTTCACAATTGTATTTAGGTATAAAAAACATATAGTTAACACTTTTAAAAAGTGTCGTCAAAATTTATACAGTAGCATAACGTTTTCGATCTAATCAGATCATCCTCAGTGCCTTCTTATGTAGTTGGAGCTAACACTAAATTTGTGGCTGTGACATCCATATATGGTTTTACATCATTCCAAATTTAAATTATATTGTGACTCTAGGTCGATGACATTGGATTCCTTCACTATCTTGTGCTAGTGTATTCTGGTGCAAAAATAAATAAGGTAACAAAGCAAGAAACTAATGAAATAACAAACAATATATAATGTTAAAGATAAGACGATCGCAAAAATAGTGAAGGACAGAGTGAATTGGTATTTAAAATGAATATAAGGAAAAATGTACCAATTAAAAAATATTGTATTTGCTGTATATTTTATATTTCTATTATGAATATTAATTTATATTTTTATATATTTATAGCATTTATTATTTTTCAGTAATCGGCGCTCTAAATATGGGAGAAGAAAATGTAGGTTTCGTGAATGTTAAAATTAAAAAACATCGTTGGTACAAGAAAATTCTCAAAACGAATGATCCCCTGATAATTTCTTTGGGTTGGAGGCGATTCCAAACAATACCACTCTACTCGAAAGCTGGAAGATGATTTAAAGTTTAGATATTTAAAATATACCCCCGAACATTTAACTTGTAACGCTCATTTTTGGGGACCGATCACTCCACAAGGCACAGGGTTTTTGGCGCTTCAAACCGTTGATTCCGAGAGCAACGTAAGTATATTTTATTTATGGAGGTATATTATTTTTCATTACGCCGTCTCATTGAAGTTCTAAAGACAAGAAGCACTGAAGTTTTTAATGGACATCAATTGTATAGAGGAATTAATCAAATGCACTATGCAAACCACGACATAAATATCAAAAATGGAATCATCAAACCTATATGATAGAACCCAAAACACCTGCTTCAACGAAAACGCATTTCAGGAAGAAAAAAACCTGCTAACAAAAGTCTTTGTTAGCAGGTTTCATTGTCGATTATCATACCCCAGCAGGGAGTTGGAACAGCTAGTGAGAGATTGTAGGAAAAATGAACTGCAATTAATCATTGGCTATGATGCGAATGCGTACCATCTGACCTGGGGTACTACAAACACTAAACTGTTAAGAAAATGGCATATCTTGATGAGGTGTCTTGTTCGGATCATCGAGCCAGGTAATGAGCATATCAAGGAAACTTATCGTAATACTAGTAGATCAAGTTGGGAAGCATATCAAGCAGACCTGGAATATTGTTTAGGTAAGATTGATGGGACGATAAGGCATACATTGAACGTAGACATGGCCGCCGAATAATTTCAAGAGGTTGCCATGTTAGCGTTTGAAGATAACTATCCGGAGATAGTGAAGAATTTCAACTGGAAATTAGTTAATTTCTATTTCCATTAATTTAAAGTTATAATTAAAGTTATAATAAAATTATAATATAATTAAAGTTATAAAATTGTATTTACATGTACGAATTTATATACAAAAAAAGATAGTTTTCAAATCAGTGGCATCAACATTTTATTAAGTGTGGATGCATACGTTAAATAGCTCCGTTCCCACTTCCCCCTAACTATATCTTTCATGATGGTCATGGTTTGAGTTTATATGCAGTTGTCCTCTTCAGAAGTGTTTTGAAGTATAATAACCGCGACCAAATCGCCCATTTAAAATGCCCTTCTATATGCGTCTATATCCTTTGGTATGGGGCACTGGACATACATGGGGAAATCTGTCTGAGTAACAGATAACACTAATACTTTACTAACGCAGATTAATTATTGACAATTAATTAATACCGACGTCTCGTTCGTTTCGCTAATCGTAGGAGTCCGGAAACTCGAGGTAAAATGTGTCATATCGCCACATCGCCATAAATGACGTTCGCTGCAATTGTGATATATCTTGATTTATAATTTTTTTTCAGGTGATTAAAAAACTTGGATTTAGGATAGCAGCGACGGGTTCAGTATTAGAACTGGATAAGAACACAAGGATATTAAAAAAACTAAAACTAATAGGACATCCGCTAAAAATTTACAAAAAGACTGCATTTATTAAAGGTAATTAATGGTTTAGGTACGTTTCGAAAACTATTTTAAAACTATATTATTTTTGCAGGAATGTTCAATAGTTCGTTAGAAGTGGCAAAATTCGAAGGAGCCCGAATAAAAACAGTTTCTGGTATAAGGGGTCAAATAAAAAAGGCTGTTAATAAACCGGAAGGTTGCTTCAGAGCAACCTTTGAAGATAAAATACAATTGAGTGGTAAGTAATACATGGTAAAATTATAAAAGACTGGACAAAAGGTAAAGCAACATTTTTAAGCAAAATTTTGAAATAAGGATACCTTTAAATGTACAAATTAACAATGTGTCAAAAATTGTGGGTAATATGAACAGTATCCTCTGGATTACTTTTAATTCCTTCCGTGGAAACGATATATCCTAAATAGTACGCCTCTTTGGAGTAGTGAACATTTATTATATTATTTATTATATATTTTCTATAAACATATCTTATAATGCTTTAAATCATTATAAGATATGTTTATATGTAGCATTTCTCAATCTGTCAAATATCTCACTTTTTCAGAGGCTCATCAGATGTTTTGGACTTAATCATTATTAAGTTATTCCCGGTAAATTCTCTTAAAACCATCTCAATCAGACGTTCAAACGTAGCTGAAGCACATCGAGTTAGAATCTATGGAGAAGCTATGAGCATATTAACGTATGTATTAAAAACGGCGTAGGTAGGCGTGGCTAACGATAATACCAATATGGCGGTGGAAGCAGGGCCAGACAGCAATATTAAAACTACTATACAAATATGACTAGTTATTCAGAAGATTTAATCATAATCTAAAAATGTGCAATACATTTTTAATAAACTATGATTTATTTATCCCGCGGTAAACGCTAAAAACACGATATATTATACATAAAGATAAATTAATACAGTCAAATACTATTAATTTATTCTCTGAAGTACGGGCCATTACTTTGTTTACATATTTGTATACTAACCTGTGGAACAATATTCCTGAAGATTTTTTATTACCATTGCTTCTGCTACTGCAACTACGTTGAGAACAAGAAACCATTATTATGCACTATCACAATATATTATTACAGTTTTTATAAAAGTATTATAAAACTAAAAATATTCGAAAAACAACAAATGTAAACAAACATATACGATCTGTCAAAAGTGTCGAAACAATTCTTAACAATATGGCCGAAGTGAGGTCGTTTTTAGTCACGTGATGCCCTCTCTCCATAGATTCTAACTCGATGCTGGAGCATTACAAAGACAAAATGGTAGAACCTGAAACGTGTAAAGACCACTGTCAGTTGAAAAAACTGTTTTGTCTGATCATCAGGATGTACTTCTACTTGCCAGTAGCTGCTTTTTCAATCAAAGGTCGAAAATCATTTAGCACCTAATGAAATGTTTGGTGTATCATCTATTCGTGACAATGGTCTTTTTATGTAACTTGGTTTAATCTTGCGGAATCCGCACAAAAGTGAGTAGATCCGTTTTTCTTAGTTACCAAGACTACTGCTAAACACCAAGGGCTGAAGCTTCTTCGATGATATCGGCATTTATCAGGTCTTGTATTATGTTTTCAACTTCTTTTTGTCTAGTCAATGGTGATCTCCGTGGGGCTTGACGAATTGATCTTGCATCTCCAGTATAAGTAAAATACTGAACTAAACTAGTACACCCTTTAGATTTTTCGGATTCAAAAATGTAGTTTTCATTAATAAATTCATTAATTTTGTCTGGTTCTTCAGTTGTTGTCAAGACAACACAGAACGTGATCAACATTTCTGATTAGTTGTTTTAAGACGCTAGCGTCAGCTGGGCAACTTGAAGCTATATTCTTTTTTAAATACTTTTCGCACTTGATATTTTTTCTATTGTAGTACAGAATGCTATTTGTTGTCTTTCTTTAATATAAAAGGCTTGTTAGACGCATTAGCAATGCTTACTGGAATCATCTCATCTACATTAACAAGAAACTTGACTATCAACATTCCGTCAGTAACGAGTCCCTCGCTTTCCAGAACATCTAAATGTAGTCCACAACGTCTCGCCAGGATGATACTTTTCAAATTTTGAGGAATTTCTGTATCCTCGCTCATTATAACTCTTACTTGAGGTATAGATTTTTCCAAATTTATGACAACTTCTTGTTGTCTGGTGAGTAAGAAAGAATGTGCCGCATAAGAAGCAACAACAAGCTGATGTATGGATAAGCGGAACTGGTTGCGAAGATAAAGGCAGCGGGTTATATGATATGTCACAAGAACGACCAGTAACGAAACTACTCTAAGTAAAAATATATCAACAGTAATTTATGTTTTTGCAGCAATTTGTGTTGCGTTCCTTTTATCCAGAAGTTCAGAATTACTTTTACATTTTTAGTATATTTTATTTACTTGTAAATGTATCTGTTTTAGATATTGTTTTCTGTAGAACTTGGTTCAAAGTTGATGTACCAAATTTCTATGCTCCTGTAAATACGTTATTATTACCGCCAGAGAAAAGAAACTCTTGGAAGGGTGTTAGAACCACCGGTGAAATTAAACGGGAAAGGGAAATCAGAAATGAACCTAATAAAGACAGCCTTTACACGGTAAGTTAAAAACCAAATCACAAACACCAATGACATCACTGAAATCTTCGATTCTAAAGTAGTCAGTTTCTTTTTTAGTTCATTTTGCAGGATTTTCATACACTTCAGAACTTTTAAAAATAGTTCTTTAGGTTTAAAGCCTGAATGGCGAAAACCTGTTTAGTAGTGTCTCCATAACAAGAGGAATGCGCCAGGGGTGCATTATGTTACTCTTCTCTTCATCCTTTATTCTGAAGAAGTATTGCAAAGCGCACTCCAAATATGTTTATTTAAATTAAAATATGAAATTACTCATTTTTTAAGAAGCGTTTGATACTCTCTGAATAAATAGTTTAAAAACAAATTTTGAAACGAATCTTTTTGTATTTTACAAGAAGAATTAATAATTTTTATTATATATTTATGTAAATAATATACATTAATCAATAAAATTTAAATATTTCTTACGAAATAATAATAAAATTCAACTTTTTTATGGACAAATACAAACTAATTGATTTTTCTGCGTATCATAGAAACCAAAATATTGGAAAATTTTTCAGCGTGCTCCAATTTGAAGTTCTATTCTAAAAAACGTCAATCGAACTTTTCAGAACGGCTGCAGATAGAATCAAATGGGCCATGATGATCGCCAATGTCCTTAGGGATGGGACACGTTAAGAAGACTTTAAAAAAACATCTCTGACTGGCGGTAAAAACCCGCCAATTATTCGCAACGATATTTATAGATTTTATAAATGCTCCAGTTTTGAAATCTCAGCCACAAATAAAACACGTCGTATAATGTCTACTACTCGGTATATCAAAACAAACTACTGTCAGCGGACGCAATGCATTATGGAGTATCCATTGCAGCGCTAGTGGCAATGTGGCTGCAAATTTGGTTTAGTTAATAACAGTGTGTTATTGTGAACTATTTGTCAATATGTACCACTCTCGCCTATGTGCGCAACCTTTGATTATCTGATACCTGATACGAGTTGTATTTTGTTGAACCCACTGGCTTCGTTATGTAGGATTCTGGAGCATAACAATCCTATATAAATATTGCAGTTAAGGAGTATAGAAAACTGTAGCTGCATATTTCAGGCCAATTGTAGATGTACCACTATTATATTTTAACAGAAACAGAGCATACTGATATCTACTAAAGGCTTCCTAATCGTAAAAACGGTCTTCGAGGGCGCCACACGTCGCATCTAAGCCATTAACACAAATTCCTGGGTATCATTGTTGAGCTATGTGCGCTGGCATTTGATTTCTTCTTCTTTAAGCGCCGTCTCCCAATCGGAGGGTGGATATCATCATCACTATCTTTACTCTATCTACTGCTGCCCTGAAGAGTTCTATAGAACTGCATTTAAACCAGTCCCTTAAGTTCTTCAACCATAACACTCTCCTTCTTCCTATACTCCTTCCACCTCTTATTTTTTCTGTATTATCAGCCTTAGCAGTTTATATCGTTGTCCCCTCATTACGTGTCCCAGATATTATAACTTTCTTATTTTTATTCTGTTTATTATTTCGCATTCTTTGCCCATTTCTCGCAATACTTCCGTGTTAGTTTTCTTCTGTGTCCATGTCATTCTAAGCATCCTCTTGTAACACCACATTTCAAAGGACTGTAACTTATTTATGTGTTCTTGCTTCAATGTCTAGCTTTTAAGTCCATATTGCAGTATCGAAAACACGTAGCATCTCAGTGCTCTTACTCTCAGTTCTAATCTAAGGTCTTTGTTGCAGAGAATTGTTTTCATTTTTACAAACGCATTTCCAAGCGTCCGAAAAGACTTCGAAGTCCAGGTTCCTAAGTATTTGTATTTATCAACTCTTTCTATCGGTACGTTTCCCAAATGTATTTTGTTGGTATATTTGTTTTCTTTGTTATTATCATGTATTTGGTCTTTTTTAGTCCATATTATGTCCATATTATGTTGTTAATAGATCTTCCGTTAATTATTATTCCTTCACTTTGAAAGGGTAATGCTTCTTCAAAAATGGCTCCACTGTATATATTAAATAGTAATGGGAACATAATACATCCATGTCTAACTCCTCTCCTGTTTTCAATTTCTGGACTGGGTTCGTTATCTATTACGATTTGTGTTCTTTGATTCCAGTAGAGGTTTGTTATTATTCGTAAGTCTCTATGGTCTATGTTTTTTGTCTTTAGAATTTGGACTAATTTTTCATGTCTTATTTTTCAAAATCAACGTAACAAACATGCACATCAACATTCATATCCATGCATCTTTGAGCTAACACATTAAAAGCAAATAACGCTTCTCTGGTTCATAGTCCGGTCCTGAACCTAAACTGACTATCATCTATTTCTTCTTCCAGTTTTTTATTTATACGACCATGTATTATTTTCAAGAATAATTTGAGAGGCCTTTGATTATCTGATACGAATTGTATTTTGCAAAAACATCATGCTTAATTGAACCAATAAATCAATCAAACGGTGAAATGGTAGCTACCTACCATTGGTTTGTAACTAATTACCAACTCTTTGTAAGTAATTACTAACTCTAAGTAAAAGCACAAATTGTAAAATCAGTTTTTATTTTTCAACACATAGGACGCGTTTCGACATATCTGTCATCATCAGCCAAAAATGTAGGAGAATCTAAATCTAAAATGCGCAATAATACACAAATTTAAGAAAGAACTGGTCCATATGGCCCATATTGTTATACTCCATGGAAACATGGACGTTAAAAGTACCTTCCATTAATAAGTTGGAGGCCTTCGAAATGTGGATGTTGCGAAGAATGTTTCGCATACCATGGACAGATAGGGTGAGAAACGAGGAAGTCTTAAGAAAGGCAAATACTGAGAGAGAACTACTCAATTCGATCAAGTACGAAAAATTGGATACCTCTGCCATATTATGAGAGGAAAAAAATACGCAATCCCTCAACTGATCATCCAGGGAAAGATTGACGGCAAGAGAGGAGTAGGTCACAAAAAAATGTCGTGGCTGCGGAACATAAAGAACTGGACAGGCATAAATAACACTGGCGATCTTTTGCATGCCGCAGAAGACAGACGTCTGGCCTTAAGATAATTCGCCAACGCACTAGAGGTGCACGGAACTATAAGAAGAAGAAGAGAGAGCTTAGTATGCAGAAAATTATTTAATGTAAAAAATTTGCTACTTATGGAGTATAATTAAAAGAAAATGGCTAGGTTTTTATCGCCACAGAGTATAATTATTAAAAAGGACTACAGAAGTCCAATTGCTCTCTTTTGAGTACCATTTTGGAGAGAGAGGATGCGACCAGAATTTGTGGCATGTGTCAGTATTGTCATATCTACTATCAATCGGCATCGAAACTATTTAATACATTCGGTAATTATAATCTTTTAAAGGGGTATGGAGATTTATGTAAAATCTAATGGATGTTAAGAATATGTGAGATAACTATAAAAGCTGTTAAAACCAAAAGTGCAGATAGGTGGTTTTCACAAGAGAATTTGGTTGTAAACTTAATATTCAACCAACCTTACTTTTGAATTTAACAAGAGACCGGTAAAAGGAGTATGCTAGCAATTATCGAATGCTAAACGGGGTCATGTAAAGTGTATGCCAAGATGGATATGGGACTGGAATTAACGTTATTTCAAATTATTGTGTACTCCTGCGCATCCCACGACATAATAACGTATAATGAGAACGGTAAAAACACCGGTCGAGCAAAGTAATAGAAAGGGAAGAAGATAAGTTAAAATATATAATAGTAAAGAAATTAAGAGTAAAACTCACCTAATGACATCACAAATGGGGTCAAGAATCTTTGGGAACGAACAATTTGACTTTTTTAGTCCTTTTTAATAATTATCCCCTATGGCGTTGACATCCTAGCCAATTCCTTTTAATTATACTCCGTAAGTAGCATACTTTTTATATTAAATAATTTTCCGTACACTAAGTTCTTTCTTAAAGTTGCATATTCTTGTGCATTTCAGATTTAGACTCCCCTCCATTTATAGCTGATGATGACAGAGATGTCGAAATTCCCATGTGTTGAAAAATAAAGATTGTTTTTACAATATGTGGTTTTATTCAGAGTTGATAATTGTATTATCTTACAAACCACATTAGACAGATACTTTTTATTATTCTAGAGCACTGTTCCAATATTGTCCCAATTCCGAAGTTATTTTGATAATGATTATCGTTCTAATTATTTCCAGCCACTAAATTTAGCAAATTTTAACGAGACAAAGCACTGCAAAAAATCATGGCAAATCTGGATAACTAGATTAGACCTGCATTTGAAATTTTTAGTATTGTGTGATACGTTCATAAAAAAAGCACAATAAAAGTTTTATTGTGCTTTTTAAATTTTTTTTTAAATTTAAAAAGCACAATAATTTAAATTTAAATTATTTTAAATAATCTTACAATTTCTCTTTTTTGTTACAGACGATTGAAAGAGAGCCTAAACCGTTCAAGCCGCTTATTATTCCCAAAAAGCTTCAACAGGCTTTACCATACAGAGATAAGCCAAAACATCTGCAGAGGTCCGGCAAAAAGGAGATCGATAGGGTAGCAGTTATAGCTGAACCAGAGGAGACAAAGGTAATCGTTTTGTTTTATAGTGAAATATATTGCAGGCAATTATGAGCACTTAATGGAAAATAATATTAACCAAATGGTTTTATGATGAACCTAGTATAAAAGTAGTGAACAATGTGGTGTAATGGTCTTTATTTTATTTTTAGCATTTATTTAGTAATGTATATTTATTCACTTTATTATTTATTTCTTTTACCGCTCTCTTTATCAAGAGGTACAGCGAAACTTGAATAATTAGAATCTCAGTGGGCCGTTAAAAAGATTCAAAATATCCAAAAATTCAAATTAAAAAGATATCTACAAAAAACAAAGATACCTACAAAAACAGGTGTGTGAAGGGGTAGTGAAGCGCAACATATGATGCCATATCCTGTTGGCGTCACTTAGCCTCTCCTACTCAATTCCTATCTTCACCTCCAAGCTGGTACACACCGGTAACCTGAGCAACCCCACTGGAGATTGGGTAACCAACCCCCCATGGAAGGTGGGGTCAGGGCTGACGAAGAAGGGAGTCTTGGTCCTCCGACGAATAGGGGGTTGGGCTGAAGGTTAACTACCTTCTCCTAGAAAAACCATGAGTTATGAACGTTCAAGGAAGAAAAGCCGGACTGATTAAACGACGACGACTGTGCGAGAAAAAGGAACACGATTTGAGGGTTGCGACATGGAATGTTCGAACATTGTACAGATTAGGGGCTCTCCAAAATCTCTTAAACGAACTAAGTAGATACAAAATTGACATAACTGCCATACAAGAAATGAGGTGGATTGGAAACAATATTATGGAAAAAAAGAGCCATACCATTTTCTACAGCTGCGCTCCTAAAGATCACATTTTGGGCACTGGATTCATAGTTAACAAGAGAGTAAGACATATAATAAAAGACTTCAGAGCCATCAGTCCCAGAATGTGTATTTTAAGAATTAAAGGACGTTTCTTCAACTACAGCCTAATTAATGCGCATGCCCCCACAGAAGAAAAAGAAGAGGAAGTCAAAGAAGAGTTTTATGATGAATTAGAGTCCGCATACCAGTCATGCCCAAAAAGTGATATAAAAATAATTTATGGAGACTTAAACGCAAAAGTTGGAAGAGAGCAGCAATTCCAACCCACAATAGGTAAGCACAGTCTCCATGAGCAATCAAATGACAATGGCAATAGGTTGGTAAACCTAGCAAGATCACTTAACATGGTGATTGCCAGCACATACTTCGCTCGAAAAGATATACACAAAGGCACCTGGAAATCACCAGACGGACTTACAGTGAATATGATAGATCATGTTATTGTAGACTCAAGACACCAATCGAATATAATAAACGTCCGTACCAGAAGAGGGCAAATGCGGATTCTGATCACTACCTGGTCGAAAGTAGGATAAGGGCTAGAATTTCAAACATCAAAAAGGAAAGAGGCTCTAAACATGAACGATACAATATAGAAGGACTCAAAGAAACAAACAAAAATAGAGAGTACAAAGAAAATATAAGCATCAAACTAGAAAACAGACAAAACATGAAAACCTAAATGAGGAGTGGGAAGAGTGCAGAGAAATCATAAAAGAAACAGCTAAAGAGGTGTTGGGCATGGAAGGTAAAGAAAGAAGAACAAGAACGAATCACTGGTTTGACGAAGAATGTCAAACTATAACAGAAAGAAAAAACAGAGCATATCTACAGATGCAACAGAGGCACAGAACCCGACAAGCAGAGGAAGAATATAAACAACTACGTAAAGAAGAAAAGAAAATTCACCGAAGAAAGAAGAGAGAATATATCAACAAAGAACTTCAAGAACTACAAGAACTAAGTAAACCAACAGAGACAAGAAAATTTTACCAGAAACTCAACAAAAGCAGAAAAGAGTTCAAACCGAGAACAACGATGTGTAAAGATAAGGAGGGTAATATATTGACAGAACAGCAAGAGATACTTAGAAGATGGACAGAACATTTTAAGGAAAAGCGTGGGGTAAATAGGACGGAGATGAACCCTGATATACCATTAGACCAAGCAGACAACAGAGAAAAGAGTCCACCAACAATAGCAGAGATTAGAACAGCAGTGGACAAATTAAAGAACAATAAATCACCGGGATCGGATCAAATATCATCGGAGCTACTGAAAGAAGGAGGAGACGCATTACTTAAAGCCATACATGAGCTGATAAGAAAGATATGGTTGAATAAACAGCTACCAAAGGAGTGGAATAGCGGCATTATTGTACCACTACATAAAAAAGGAAACCAGTTAGAATGTGAAAACTACCGTGGAATCACGCTGTTGAATGCGGCATACAAAATAATGTCCAACGTAATGTATGAAAGACTTAGACCATACGCTGAAAAAATAGTTGGCAAATACCAATGTGGCTTCTGTAGACAGAAGTCAACAATAGACCAGATATTTGTTCTGCGACAGATCCTTGAAAAAACAAGTGAATATAACATCGACACACATCATCTCTTCATAGACTTCGAAAGCGCATATGACAATATAAACCGAGAATTCCTAACAAAAGCAATGAAAGAATTTAATATACCAACACAGCTAATAGAATTGATAAAAGAAACACTAAAAGTAGAAAGTAAAATCCGGATACAAAACGAATTAACGGAAACAATAGATGTGAAGAAGGGACTACGCCAGGGAGACGCTCTATCATGCATATTATTCAACATCATACTTGAAAAAATAATAAGAGACACAACAGTTAATACCCGAGGAACAATAATTAATAAAAGCGTGCAAGTACTAGCATTTGCAGATGATGTTGACATAATCGCAAGATCAAGAAGAGAAATGATAGAGGCATTCACTCAAATAGAACGAGCTGCAAAAAATAGTGGTCTTAAAATCAATCAGACAAAAACAAAATATATGCCTGCAAATAAAAACGCACAAATAAGGCAGCTGCCAAATTTAACAATAGGAGAATACAACATTGAGGCGGTAAAAAACTTTACATACTTAGGATCCCTAGTTACGTCTGATAACAACGTTGCAGAGGAAGTGAAGAGGAGAATATTTATTGCCAATAAATGTTACCATGGCTTAATTAGGCAACTAAGATCAGATAACGTCTCCAGAAAAACAAAATGCCAAATATACAAAACCTTAATAAGACCGGTACTCACATACGGTTCAGAAACCTGGACACTCTCTAAAAGGGAGGAAACGTTATTAGCCACCTTTGAAAGAAAAATCTTGCGACACATATATAAGGGCACAAAAGAAAACGGGATTTGGCGGAGAAGGTATAACTTTGAACTATACAACATATACCAGGATCCGGATATCATAACATTCATTAAAATAGGAAGGCTACGTTGGATTGGACATGTGGAAAGAATGGAAGAAGGCGAAATACCAAACAAAATATTCAAACAAGTGCCAGTAGGAAAAAGAACAAGAGGAAGACCGAAGCTGAGATACGTAGAACAAATAGAAAATGATATAACAACATTAAAAATTAAAAACTGGAAAAAAAAAGCACGAAACAGGTCAGAATGGAGAAGAATCCTTGAACAGGCCAAGACCCAAAAAGGGTTGTCGAGCCAGTGATGATGATGATGACCTACAAAAACATCTGCAAACGATAAAAATCAACAATAGTTGACCATTTTTATCGCTTGCAGATGTTTGCGTTCCTATTTTTGCCGGAATTTTGTCAACCAAAATGGCCAATTATTGTCGATTTGTATCATTTGTTCTCATTGGTATTTTCGAACTCTTGGCAAAAAAAATCGGCCATTGAGAACGCGTTATCAAATCATAAAACTTTTTGTCTCAAAAAATTTATTGAAAATAAAAATTGAAAATAAAATAATAAATAATTTGTTACAATTAACGAAAAAGACAGACGTTAATTTTTTCCAAAGAAATCCGAAATTTTTAACTGCTTTTTAGAATATAGCATCTCGATAATGACAACAGATCCTAAGATATTCAGCGAACTAAAAAAGGGTGACTTACGTCATTTTTACTTTCAAAGTACCGTCTAAGATGTGTAATATGGTTCGTTGCTTCGGCCGCACTCGGAACGTGTATTTCCCCCGCAATTGATGACGCGTCGTCTTCATCACTCTCTTGTTTTTCATCATTGCTCTTAAGCATTTCAGTGATGATCTCTGATAATGGAATTTTCTTAAGGGATGGCAGGATCAGAAGTCATGTTAGCAGAAAAAAAAATAACTACATTTTCCGTCGGTGGGTTAGTGTTGTGTGCCATACAGTCAATAAACAAAATAACTTTTTTTTTATCGAAAAGATCACTAATCATCCAAACGCCTACGCTGTTCACATATTCCACTGGTTTTGACTTGACATTATTAAAACAACGCAGATTAGCCGACTTGCCAATCGTCAGTATCATCAATATGAGAAATGTCTTGCCAATCATCATTCTGAGGAAAGTGACCCTGTCTTTGTTTAGTTTTCCTCGGTGACATTTTTCGTTTTTAAATGCAAGTGTTTTGTCAGTTCTCCACAAATGGATTTAAATAAATTTTGTTACGTTTGTCTAAACTGTCTAAATTTGGATTTTCTGTCTCCCTTAACCCCCTTCATTCTTTAGCGAACTCACTTCCACTCTTTATTCCAAATTCCAAATTTAAAAGTCCTTGGCAATCTCAGATTTTTTCTTCGTCCCCTTTTCTACTTCTTTAATTGCCGCCATTTTTCCGATAACGTCAGTTTTTTATGTTCGAAGTTTATGATGACGTGATTGTGGTGATTGCAACGCCAACGCATCTCAACTGCAGAGGCCTGCAGGATGCAATTTACAATGGCCTTGATTGTCTTGAAATAAGTGTTAAATAATAATCCCATAAATTATGGGAAGCGTTAGAGAAAAGCATAAGTATGAATTTAATAAATGCGACGAAGGAACTGTACGCTAATGCTAACTCAAAGGTAAAGGTTGGAAATAATCTGTCAAGTGGATTCCAATTGAATAAATGCCTTAAGGAGGGCTGCTGTCTCTCCCCGACATTATTTAAAAT